AGACCTCAGCTCAGGCTGGGTCCCCAGCCAGGGAGGGGCGCTCTTGGGCACTTCCCACATCCCTGCCTCCACGGTGGACCTAGAGTGTTTGTGGTGGGTCAGCACAGATGAGTGGCACAGGGAGCCTCTAGGAGGATGGGAGGACTCCTAGCCTGCCTTTCTTTTTGTTTTAATGAGACCCCAAGAAATTTACACTGTTGGAGAACAGTAGGAGCCAGCGGTGTCCGTTTGTAATGAACACGGTGGGTCTCACGTAGTTGAACAAAGATTTTTATTAGAAAGCTAGGGGTTAACGTGGGGGTGGGTACGCCCCCATACACCCGCTGCCACAGACGCCATCCTCATGCGTGTCCTCACGCCCCAACCTTGCCTCCTCAGGAACCTCCGCAGACTGGACATCTCTCACCTTCCTGCCGTGTCCAACCCGGGCCTCACTCAGATCTTGGTGGAGGAGATGCTGCCCAACTGTGAGGTTCTGGGGGCTGACTGGGCCCAGGGCCTCAAGCTGGGGCCAGAGGAGCAGTCCTGCGACACAGCCAGCAGCCCCATCCCTGCCTAGCCTTCGGCCCAGTCCGTGTGGAGCTGGGTCTCAGCCGGGCTGTGCTGAGAGGTTAACAGCTCACCCTTCTTCTAGCTTCCAGTTGGGTTCACTCACCTCGGGGGATGGGGCTAGGATCAGAGGCACTGGCAGGTCAGAGGCAGGGGGAGTGAGGTGGCTTGTCCCCTACCGCGGGGGTGCTCTGGCTGGCTGCACCCTGGGGGGAAGCTCGCAGCTTCTGGCAGCCTGTCAGGCAGCCCTTTCCGCACCATTCTCTCCTTCCCAGTTCCAGGAGCCCCCTTCTCCTGCCTCTTCAGGCCTGGGGGAGGTAAGGGCTTCTGCCTTCAAGTAGCCTCAGGGAGTTGCACTCTCCCTTGTGGTGTTCCCACAGCGCACCCACCTCTGTGTCAAGAGAGAAACTTCTTGACTTTTCTCAGAAGACTCTTGGAGGATTATCTCACTTGAGTGTGCTACTGTTTCCTGCCAGGACCTGACTGATACAGAAGGTGCTATGGGCATTTTATAGGGATGTTTCTTCCCTGTGTGGGACGACTTAAGCTCACTGCAGGCTGAAGCACCCCTGGGCCACACCCACTAAATGCTGGGAGCATCCCAAGTCCCACAGTGTTCTCGCTTATTGAGTTACTGACTCAGCTCCAAATTCAGCTTGCTTGTTTGCTCTGAAAATTGATCTGGGCCTTTGAAATATTTTTCCTTTGCTAAGTGGCCTGATAAGGTTTGCCAGTAGAGGGCGCTCCAGAGACGTTCCTTGAGAGAGGCAAGGCTTTGCTTTCTGGCGGCGCTCAGGAGTGCCAGCTCAGCGGCCCTGCAGCACATGACTGCCCCGTGTACCTGCTTCCTGAAGCGTCAGGTGGTCAGCAGCTTCCCCGGCACCCACCACCCCTGACCTGGCAGTTCTACAGAACCTCCACTGACGCACCTCCCTGTGAATGCCTCTCCACCACACCCCTGAAGGTGGATTTCCAGTAAATTCCAAGGCACCTTACCAATGAATCTCCCTCCTTATTTCACTTTGCTGTGAAAGTCATTAATTCTCTGTATTAAACTTTTCCCTGTTCAAATTACTGTATGGTTTTTCTTCTCTCCAGACTGGATCCAAACTGATAGAGCACTGGCATTTGGAGTGTTCCCAAAGATAAACACACAAAGATGGGATTTGGGGGTTGGTTTCATCCCGCCTTTGGCTTGAGTGCATTGCTAAGCTCCTCGGCAGTGGGAAAGGAGACATTAGAAATCCATGGGCTAAACGTCCATCGACAGATGAATGGATAAAGAAGATGTACATATATACAATGGAATATTACTCAGCCATAAAACAGAATGAAATAATGCCATTTGCAGCAACATGGATGGACCTGGAGATTATCATACTAAGTGAAGTAAGTCAGACAGAGAAAAACATCGTATGATATCACTTATATACAGAATCTAAAAAAAAAAAAATGATACAAATGAACTTAAAAAACAGGAACAGACTCATTTAGAGAACCAAGCTTAAGGTTACCAGGGGGGAAGGGTGCGGGGGAGGGATGGACTGGGAGTTTGAGATTGACATGTACACACTGCTATATTTAAAATATCAATAGATAGGGAATTCCCTGGTGGTCCAGTGGTTAGGACTCCCGTGCTTCTGCTGCTGAGGGCGCAGGTTCAATCCCTGGTTGGGGAACTAAGACCCCACAAGCCGCGTAGTGTGGCCAAAAACATTAAAAAAATAAAAAATAGATAACCAACAAAGACCTAATGTATAACACAGGGAACTGTGCTCCATATTCTGTAATAACCTAAATGGGAAAAGAATTTGAAAAAGCATAGATACATGTATATGAATCACTTTGCTGTACACCTGAAACTAACACAACATTGTTAATCAACTATAATATAAAATAAAATTTTTTTAAAAAAACCCAAAAATCTAAGGCATGCAACCGCATCACGAAAACGCTATTGCCCGGGGTCGTGAGGAGGTGCCAACTGAAGCCTTGTGCCCTGGGAGGCCCTATGGCTGCTGCACTTGATGCTGTGGCAGTAATGACAGTTCTAAAGATACGGCTAGGCAGATTGCCTGGAGTGCCCAGCTCAAGTCACCCCTTCAGAATTGGAAAGCTCCCATGGCAGTCCCCCACCGCCCCCCAGAATTCTTACTTGTAGATACTGCTGAAAATACAACACAACATTTGGGTTTTCAAGTTGCTGAGTTATGACAGTTGAATTCCCAGTCTTGACAAGTTTCTCATACGAAAGTGAGGGCACTGACTGGTAAACAGTGGGATCCAGAAACCTGGAATCGGGTCATCTGGTTGCACCCAAAGGAAAGATGATCTCGAACTCCCAAGTTACTGGGAGCCTCCCTTACCAGTGTGAGGAGACGACCAGCCATCCTGCTCACAAGCATTCCCTGCTGCCACTAGACCCACAGATGCCAAGGGTCAAGTCTCAGCACGCTCCAGAGGACAGGTGCTCACTACGACCCAGAAGGGAACAGCTCTTACACTGAAGGGCAAGACTTGCAAACAGAGGTAGAGGCAACCCTGGGGAAGCTGCACAGGAGTGGGTTCTCAGGGTGCTAGGCCAGTGAGAGTGGGTCTTACACTGCATGGGGCCAAGTTCACCGCTAGGAGGGCACTTGCTAGAGCTGCTGGGTATAACAAGTTAGCCAGTGCAGCTGGCGTGGTCCCGACAGCTTGCTTAGTTGGCTGGCCGGCATTTGGACTCAACAGTGACCTGTGGTTACTAAGGCGAGAAGCCAGAACCACCCTGGCATAATCTGGAGAGGGAGATTCAAAGGCTGGGGGAGACAGGAAGGTGGGGTCCTCCGCTTTCAACCCGCACACCCACCCAACCACGTTCCACAAGAGGGCACCTCTTCAGTCATTCTCGACATTCGACTTTCCCTGCTCCGGCTGCTGAGCGGTTTCTCCTGACGGGAGCATCTGCAGACTGGTGCACGCGGCAGCTCGGCCCCCGGTGGAGACACCTCCCGCGCCCCGGGCGAAGCTAGATGAGCCAAGAGTCGGGGGGCCTGGACCGCCCCACCCCGGCCTGGGGGGAAGAGGGCTTGGAGACCCCTTCCAAGGTTTCTCAGGGCCCGGCCCCAGCCCACTCTGGCTTTTATTCCATCAGTATTCCCACCTTCTCCATACCCTCTTCCTCCATCTGGTCCCATGGGCTCCATTATTCAATCCTGGGGAGAGGGAATCAGCTAGACAGATGATCGGCTGCTGCTGCCCTGGCCAGGACAGGGTTCCTGAGGTGATCTGGGCAGTTCCCAACCCGGGTGGGGGTGAAGGGGGTCAGGCCGGGCTCACTGGGGGGCCCTGCGTCCCAGCCCAGGCTCCAGGAGCTCTGGTATGAGGCGGCCCCCCCTGCCTGCCACCCCAGACAGCTGATGCAGTCCAAACAGCAGACGCCCCCGGAGGGCTGCGACGGAAACACCGGCAGTCCCGGGGGGGGGGGGGGGGGCCGGATGGGAGTGTCCCTGGAATCACCATGCCGCTGTAGGCAGGGCCAGGGCCTCAGGGCGTGGCAGAGCCAGGGCCTCAGGGCGTGGCAGAGCCAGGGCCTGCGTGTGGGACCAGGGAAGGACGGAGGAGGCACGGGGGTCAGCGTGGCTCCAGGGCTCCTGATGCCCCCCCTTCACTGCCCTCTGGCTTGGCCCCCCCTTCCCCCCCCTTCCATCTGCTCCTCCCCGGCTCCTCTCTGGGTCTGGCTGCCTCTGCCTGGCTCTGGCTCGGTTGGCAGACTCCCTGCTCTCTGCTCCCACCCCGTCGTCCCTCCACCTGCCCCTGCACATCTCTCCACCCTCCCCCACAAGGGCTTCCCTTATCTCTCGCCAGCTGTCTCCACCTTCCCGTCCCATCTCTCTCTTCTTGCAGCTCTCTCCTCTGGGCCTTCCTGAATCTCTGCCGCCTGTCTCTCCTCCCTGCCTGCCCCCGGGGTCTCCCTGGCTGTCTCTTCTTTCTCTGCAATGTCGGTCTCTGCCTGTATCCCCTCCTCCCCACCAGCCCCCTTCCCCATCCCCACCCTGACTCCGGGCCACACACCCCCACCTCTGGCAAGGTCACCCATGCCCTTTTCAGCACAGTCACACACACACACACACACCCTCCTCCCCCGGCCAGGCCCTGCCCCTGGCCTCCAGCCAGGCCACTTTAGGACTCTGCCTGCCCTTGGGCCATTCTGACACTTCCCAGCCCCTCGGCCTCACCCTCCCTCGGACTCTCTCCCAGGCCCCCTGGTTCTCCCCTCCCCAGCCTGTCAGCTCCCGGTCTCTGCAGCCACCCCTGCACCTTTCCTGCTGTCTCACCAGAAAACCAGCCCCAACACGCCACAGCCCCATCCCTCAGGTCTGCCTCCTGTCCTCCCCCCCTCCTCCTCCCCCTCCCTCGGCCCCGCCCCGGTCCCTCCCGGCCCCTGGGGCCCTCCCAGCCTCCCGCAGACCTGCTGGGCTGGGCTGGGCTGGGCTGGAGAACAACAGTGCTGGAGACACCAGCGCTGCCGGACGAGGGCAGAGGGCCGGCCCCAAGGCCCAGGGCGCTGGAGCTGGCCAGAGCCGGACCCAGAGGTAAAGGGGAGGGAGCCGTGCCTGGGGTGGGGACTGTCGGGCGAGGAGGTGACCCCAGTGATACTGACTCCTGGTAAGGGGGATGAAGTGGGGGGAGAGGGAGGTTGGAATGGTGGAGTCCCTGATCTCTGGGGTGCGGATGGGGAATAGGTAGCCTCCCGGGTTTCTACGAAAGTAGAAGGAGCTGGGCTGAGTGGAAAGAACAGGGTGCTGGAATGCGAGTAGAATAGGGATTCGTACAGGGTCGTTGGTGGAGGGCTGGTTTAGGGTCTGAGACTACGAGAAGCCTTGGAGGGCTCGGCAGGGCCCGAGGGCCCGCCCCTGCACCCCAAAAGGCCTCTGTGGCTCTTTTGCAGCTCCCGCAGCTGCCCTTTCCTGGGCCGGGTCATGCGCTGTCCCAAGTGCCTTCTCTGCCTGTCAGCACTGCTCACACTCTTGGGCCTCAAAGTGTACATCGAGTGGACGTCCGAGCCCCGGCTGGGGAAGGCCTACCCGGGACCCCGCAGCACCCCACCAGGCCCCACGCCAGCCAGCCCCGAGCCCACCCTGCCGGCCAACCTCTCGGCCCGTCTGGGCCAGACTGACCCGCTGCCCTCGGCCTACTGGAACCAGCAGCAGTGGCGGCTGGGGACCCTGCCCGGTGGGGACAGCACTGAGGTGGGGGGCTGCCGCGCTTGGGGAGCTGCCGCTGCGGCCGAGATCCCCGACTTCGCCTCCTACCCTGAGGACCTCCGCCACTTCCTGCTGTCGGCAGCCTGCCGGAGCTTCCCACGGTGGCTGCCCAGGGGTGGCGGCGGCCAGGTGGCCAGCTGCGAGGACCCCGACGTCCCCTACCTGCTGTTGGCCGTCAAGTCGGAACCAGGGCGCTTTGCGGAACGACAGGCCGTGAGGGAGACGTGGGGCAGGCCGGCTCCCGGGGTCCGGCTGCTCTTCCTGCTGGGGTCCCCGGCGGGCGAGGGGAGGCCTGACCTAGGCTCCCTGGTGGCCTGGGAGAGCCGCCGCTACAGCGACCTGCTGCTCTGGGACTTCCTTGACGCCCCCTTCAACCAGACGCTCAAGGACCTCCTGCTGCTGGCCTGGCTGGGCCACCACTGCCCCAGCGTGAGCTTCATCTTGCAAGCCCAGGATGACGCCTTCGTGCGCGTCCCCGCCCTTCTGGACCACCTGCGGGCCCTGCCGCCCAGCACGGCCCGTGGCCTCTACCTGGGTGAGGTCTTCACCCAGGCCAAGCCCCTCCGGAAGCCTGGAGGACCCTTCTACGTGCCTGGGTCCTTCTTTGAAGGCGGCTACCCAGCCTACGCAAGTGGGGGCGGCTACATCATCGCGGGCCGCTTGGCACCCTGGCTGCTGCGGGCGGCGGCCCGCGTGGCCCCCTTCCCCTTCGATGATGTCTACACCGGCCTGTGCTTCCAAGCCCTGGGCCTGGCCCCCAGGACCCACAAAGGCTTCTTCACGGCCTGGCCGGCAGGCCGCACTGCTGACCCCTGTGCTTTCCGTGACCTGCTGCTGGTGCGGCCCCTCAGCCCCCAGGACAGCGTCCGGCTCTGGAAACAGCTGCGGGACCCTCAGCTCCAGTGCTGAGACTCGGAGGTGGGGAGGGGCGGGGAGGGCAGACCTGGCCTGGGCCTTGGCGCCAGCCCCTTGCTCAGCCTCTCTTTCTAGGCCTCGGTGCGAGGAAGGAGGTCCTGGAATGGAGGCTGCCTGAGCCCTCCCTGGGCCTCCCCAAGAGGCGACAGACTGTTTCCGTCTTTCAGTTTCTGAGGCCTGGAGTCGTCGTCTCTGTCTACGGGGCCTTGAGGCAGTTTACAGAGCAAAGCTCAGCTGCACCCTGACCTTCACACCAGATGCTCTCCCCACCCTTACTGGGCAAGGCCGGCTCCGATGGCCTCTTGGTCACCTTGCTGGACACCAGCTTTGACCCGTTCTATGGGAGACAAGAGGCCATCTCCGGAGGACCCCACCCCCATCCTGTTTGCTGAAGCTGACCTTCCAGCTTGCAAAAGTTTCTGGAGGAAGAAGATAGCTCAACAGCCTTGGCCTTATTTATCTCAACTGGAGAAGCAGGGGTGGTCCCAAACCAGTCATGCTGGCCTCTCCTCCCACATCCCAAACTCCAGGAAACAGAAACCAGAGGTAGCATGAAGCCAAATGCAGAGGCATAGTTTATTCACTACCTGCTGACCACCTCTCACTCTGAGTAAGTTCCACAGGCTGACCTGCCACGTCCACCCCCAGCCCTGAGGGGCTTCCAGTCCTGGAGGTGCCCTTGCCCAGCCCCTGGGAGAAGACCCTGTAACTAAAGGCGAAGAAGAGGCTGACCAAGGCCCCACCAATGTTAACAGCATGGAGAGGCAGGAGCCGCCCCAAGTGCTGCCCTGGCCCGAGTGTGCTGCAGGGAGCTGTCAGGGGAAGGGGGTAGCATCCTGCCCGTCACCTCTGCGCTCAGAGGCAGAGTTGACGTAGGTGGGGATGGGCCAAGTAGCCTCACTTCTCGAAGTGATCCAGGGGGTAGTGTTCCCCATAGGTCTGGAGGTGACGGGCCAAAGACTCCTGCTGCTTGCGGAGCTGGGTAGGCATCTCCTGATACACATCTGAGAAGAGCAGGCTGGGGCTGGGCTTCAGCTTCCGCTCGGCCTGCTCAAAGGCCTCCATCACCTGGGGAACAAGTGGCAGTGGGCAGGCAGCCGACCTCTCACCCAGGAACCTGCTTCCTACCTGTGGGATCCTGGCGAGGGGTTAAGCCCCCTGAGCCTCAAGTTCCCACGTGGACAACAGAAATAGTGGTGACGGGCTTCCCTGGTGGCACAGTGATTAAAAATCCGCCTGCCAATGCGGGGGACAAGGGTTCGAGGCCTGGTCCGGGAAGATCCCACATGCCGCGGAGCAGCTAAGCCCGTGCGCCACGACTACTGAGCCTGCGCTCTAGAGCCCGCGCGCCACAACTACTGAAGCCCACGCGCCTAGAGCCCCTGCTCCGCAACAAAGAGAAGCCACCACAATGAGAACCCCGCGCACCGCAACGAAGAGTAGCTCCCGCTCGCTGCAACTAGAGAAAGACCGCACGCAGCAACGAAGACCCAGGGCAGCCCAAAATAAATAAATTTAATAAATTAAAAAGAAAAAAAAATAGTGGTGACAACTGATGTCCCAAATCCCAGCATCTCTACCCTTAGCAGAACCAGGCACTACACTAAGAGTGTGGAATCGGTTCAGCCTCTCAGCAGCCCTGAGAAGCAGGCAGCTCAGAGGTGAGGAAACCGAGGCACAAAGAGAAGGGACGTGCCCACGATGACGTGGTCAGGGGCAGAGCCAGGAAGCACATGCTGCCCGACACCAGGGTCTGCCCTGCCCACTGGGCCGCAGTGCTTCTGGTGTCTGACGACCAGGGCCGAGGAGGGCAGTGCACAGACTCTGGCAGACACTTACACCCCATCTGGATCAGATGCAAACCCTCAGACAAGCTCCTGAGGTGGGTACCCCAGTATCCCTCTTCAGAGGCGAAGGAGCTGAGGGCAGAACACGGCTGAGGTGCACGTGTCCTGGCATCATGACATTAGAGACATCACCAGGGTTATCCCCGAGACTGCCAATTCAATGGCCCCCAACCCCCAGCCTCCCCATCCTTCCAGGGTTCTCCGTGACACACCATCCCGGAACACGACCCCTGGGGTGGTTTCCAACGGAGGGTGGCCCTTCCTCACCTTCTTGCGGGACTGCTTCCTCCAGGCCTTCTCCTGCTCATCGTCCCACCAGCCACAGCTCTGCAGGTAGTGCCTCAGCCGGGAGATGGGGTGGTCCTGCTTGTCCCAGTAATTGACCTCATCCACTGAGCGGTACGCTGAGCTGTCGTCGCTGGTGCTGTGGTGCCCGATCCTACCAGCGGGAGGGGGACCCAGGGTCAGGCTGGCGCCCCTCAGGTGAAGGTCAGGAAGGAACGGGTGGACTAGGGGAGAAGGGGGGAAATGGAATAAAGGCCGGAAGGGGCTACACGGTGCAGGGCAGTGGGGTTGTACCGCGGGGACGGTGATCAACGTGGGGGAGGTGCTGAGGGCGGCAGTGGTTGGGGCTGGGGGCCGACGGGGTGGTGGTGGGGGGACGGCAGCCACCTGTAGGTCATGGCCTCAATGAGGAAGGGCTGGTTCTCCGCCACGGCCCGCCGCCGGGCCTCCTTGGTGGCGTTGTACACAGCAAACACATCATTGCCATCCACGCGGATGGACAGGATGCCGTATCCGGGGCCTCGAGCCGCTGTAGGGACAGGGAGGCAGGTCAGGCCCCAGGGCTCAGGTGAGACAGGAGCAGGGAGTGGGGAGAGAGGGGAGGAAGGAGAGGGCGCAGGGCCCGTACCGATGCCGTCCCCGCGGTACTGCTCGGAGGTGGGCGTGGAGATGGCATAGCCGTTGTTCCGGCAGAAGAAGATGACGGGGCACTCGAGGGTGGCGGCGAAGTTGAAGCCGGCGTGGGCGTCCCCCTCACTGGCCGCGCCCTCTCCGAAGTAACAGATGACGACCCTGTTGGCGTTGGCCCGCTTGGCCGCGTAGGCTGCCCCCACCGCTGCAGGAGCAGAGACACGCGTCTCCCTGCACTCATACCCTCCCCGCGTCCACACCCTCGCACCCCAACCCGGGGCTCCGGCCCTCAGGCTAGCTGTTGCCAGGCTCTGAGGGGAAAGAAAACACCTGAGCCGCCCCTCCCCCTCCCCCAGAAGCTGCCCCGCCCACAGTCTCCTCCCCTCGGCTGACGGCAGCTCCATCCTTCCATCCTTCCAACTGCTCAGGCCACGAACTTCAGCATCTTTGACTCCTGACTTTCTGTCACGCCCCCATGCCCGCTCGGCCTTCAAAACGGAGCCAGAATCCGACCCCTTCTCCCCATTCCCTAACCTCTCCCTGGTGGTCCCAGCCCCACCTCTGGCCCGAGCAGCCTCCTCCCCAGCCCCCTGCTCCTCCCACCCAAGCTGTTACCCTCAGGGCAGCAGCCGAGCCGGCAGGTGGTTCTGCAGCAGACTCCTCCCCCTCCCCCAGCTCGGGTCCACTCTGGGTCAAAGTGTCTTCAAAAGTCGACAGCCTGAGACCCCACCTGTGTGCATCCCTCCCTCCACACCTGCCCCACTGGCTCCTCCTGGCACCTCAGACACGTCACCGAGCAGGCACCCGCCTCCACATCCCGAGTGGCTCCCTCTCTCACCTTCTGGTCTGTACTGTCACCTGACGACACCTGTCCCCGCCTTCCCCCATCAAGAACCACTCCCTCTCAGCTTTACTTTTCCCTGTGGGCCTTATCACCCCTGACATACTCCATGTGTTACTTCATCCTGTTTATTGTCCGTCTCTCCCACCAGTGTCAGCACCAGGAAGGCTGAGGTTTTTGCTGCCTCTGTTCAATGCACCTAGAATGGCACCCAGCACACAGCATGGACTCCGTACACTGGCCAGCTGAGTGACTTAACTGGTCACCCAAATGGAAGATGAGGGCCAGGCCCCACCTTATGGAAAGCCTACGAAATGGAAATCAGTGAAAATGCTACCTCTTCCCAGAAAGCTGCCCTGTCCGCCTCCCACCTCAGACACAAACCGCTCCTGTTCCCAAATAGAACACGCCGGGCGAACGTGCCCGGGGCCCTCTGACGCGCCAGGCACTCTAAGCCCTGTGCACATCAGTTCATGTGTCACTGGCCCTCGACCGAGTGCAGGCTCCACAGCGCGGGGGGTGGGGGCTGTCCACATCCCTGTTTTTGCACCGTAGGGCCACAGCCCTGCCCCTGGCGGGTCTGCTTCACAAGCAGTCCGTCCCCTTTAACAGAAGCCACACCAACTGCGCTAAGCATTGTGGACTTGCAGAGTAAGCTTTAGGGGAGTCACTCGGGACAGAGGCAGGCAGGGCCGGGGTGGAGAACCCAGGGTCTGGAGCCACATGGTCCACGATTTGAGTGCCTACTCTTCTTGCTACCTGCCGGGTGACCTTTAGTAAGGAAGCTGGCACACGCTCAGTCCCACGCAGCTGGCTGTGCCGGTGAAGGGACACGGGCTGGGCACAAGCGTGAGAAACTGACAGTGTGATTGTGCTCAAACCTGCCGAATGGGGCGAAGACGCCACTAGAGCCCTCCTGCGAGGCTCCCAGACAAGAGGGGTCGTGTAAGTCTAGAGCCCAGACCGGCGCTAGGACCGTGGCGCCACCAGGAAGCCCCCGGAAGGGATGGAGGAGGCTAGGGCCCGAGCAGGGTAACGACGTCAGACTGTGTGTGCGGGGCCCAGGGCGTGCATCCTCACCCTGAGGGATCTGCGTGGCCAGTGGAGAGGAGATGGTGACGAAATGGCGCTCCCTGCAGCCATAGTGGACGGGCATCTGGCGCCCCTTGCCCAGGTCGCTCACGTTGCCGTAGCACTGGGCCATGAACAGTTCCAGGGGGTAGTTCCGGTACATGAGCACGCCTGGTGCAGGAGAAGGCAGGGTTACCGTGGCGGGTGGTGTGCGGGACAGGCCAACCCTGTGCGGGCCCCTGGGCCAGGCCCTTCCTGCCCGGGACCCGTTCTGCTGACTGTCCTACAGCAGGGAAGGCGCGTTCGGATGCTTATAGGGGCCAGGCGGGTGCAGGAAGCAGGCGGGCAGAGCAGAAAGCACAGGCCTGCCTCAAGACGGCGGCTGCTGTTCAAACCAACTAACCTCTGCTCAGAGAGGCCAGATGGTCCAGCTTTTCAAAAGGAGCAATCCAGCGTGCTTTTTTTTTAGGGGGGGGCGCTAGGGGAGAGGAGGGGAAGCTACCTGATTTTTAAGAGTTTCCACTAATTCATCTACTTAAAAAAAAATCATCATATGAACCAAAAAGAAGTATGGGCCGTGCTCACGACCTGTGGACTAGAGAGGAAATGTTCAAACCTGCTCATGGCAGTAAAATCCTTTCTTCAAACAAAACCCCGGCGGATGCCCACCTCGTCATCAAAGGCGCCACAAGGCCGCACCTCTCTGACGCGAGCTTCGCACCAGCTGGCTCACACAGCTGGTGGGGCTGGTGGGGGTCCCTTGCAGCCGCTCCAGTGGGAGGTGGGCAGGGGCCTCCACTCTGCTGTGAGGGGAACCGACACAGGCTCCAGGGTTTCCAGCACTGAGGACAGCTCAGTGAGCGCTACCGTTCTCAGTGCCCTTGTTCTCCCCACTTCACAGGAGACACAGAGTCACATGGGGAGTAGCTGCCCAGTCAGGACTGGGACAAGCGGGGCCTGCCTTTCCTCCTTGCCCCGCACAGGCGCCTCGGCAGCTGTCTGGATGCAGGGCCTTCCATGACCCTTGGTGCAGGACGGCTCACTCCTGCAGAGGCGGCTGGGGCCCAAACAGCCCCCATGTGCAGAGCCCAGCGGCCGCCCGTAACTCCAGGACCCTCGCTCCAGGCCCTGCTTGGAGCCCTCCCCAGAGAGATCCCCTCAGCAGAAACAGTGGGAAGCGCTTAGCAAACATGGCAGGGGCCTGGCTCACGGCCCAATGCCCAGGCAAACCTAATGATGCGGAACCACGGACAGTATCACAGGGCATCTGGAGCCCTGGAGCATGCGGGGTGGGGGGTCTGGTGCAGCTGAGACAGTAGATGGTCTGAGAGCAGACTGGAAGGCTGTGCTGGTCCCGGGAGCGCTTACCCCACGCCAGGCCCTGTGCTGAGGGCTTTACGTCATCTGCCCTCTGAAACCCCTCAACAACCGGCTCGGGAGGGTCCACCGTCTCCCACTGTAGATGAGGACGCTGAGGCGAGGAGCAGTCAAGCAACCTGCCCAAGGTCGTGCGGCACCCGAGAGGAAGGGTCAGACCTGGCTCCCCCGCTGGGCCCCATACCAACAACTGCTGTGGACCCCCACCCTCAGCTCCCCGGGCTCACTCCTGCACCCCCAGCCTCTCCTTAACTCTCATCCGTTTTCTTTATTCCTAGTCATTGCTCTTTCCAGCCTCTCCCTCATTCACTCAGAAGTTAGCTACTCCCAGGCTGGAACACGCCCACCCATCTGAAGGATACTGGCACCTGGAAAGAGGCCCTCTCGGCCTGACCTCACTGCAGGCTCACGGCAGCCCCACAGCACAAGGGCTTGCCATCCCATCATAACCTCTATTTCAAAGATGAGAAAACTGAGGCTCAGAGAACGGAAGTGACTTGCCCAAAATCGAACAACTGGTCACCAGCAGGGCATGGAATGGTCAGGAGCACAGGCTCTTAACTACAATACTGCCAGGCCTCCGCGGAGGGGAAGCACCCTTAGGCCTCTCTGGCAAGGTGCCGCTCCTAGAAGAGCACATTGGTAACTGATGTGGGCCTCGCCTTCATAGCAGGAGGGACTGGGCCTGACTAGTCTCGATGGGGACCACAGACCCAGGTCCCTGGCACCTGCTCCACAGGGCCGGGCCACGGGCAGACGTACCTGCCTCCCGGTACTGGCCAAACACCAGGTCCGTGCTGTCCAGGGCTGCTGCACTCCCCACGTGCGTCCCCTCCTCACCATAGTTGGTCATGTAGAAGGATATCCGGCCCTGGGGGTGGAGGAGGGCCCAGAGGGCAGGTTCAGTTAGACTGGGCAATGCCAGAGAAACGTCCGAGCACTGACCGACTTCTGACTACTCTGTGATTCGACAGGTGCTTCCTGGAGGCCGGCTCTGGGCCAGGCCATGCTGGCGTTCCTGCCTTCACAGAGGAACCGCCAGGTTGGTTACAGCCAGGGTGAGGGGGCTGCGTGATGGGGGCTGAAGGGGTACCCGCCCCACTGTGGAGGGGCATCGAGGAGCAATGCCTATGCCGAGCAAAGGTAGGGAGGGTGGAGGTTTCCAGGCAGAGAGAACCAGAAAGGCCATGAGGTCAGAAGGGCTGGGACACAAAGTGGGAGGGGTGGAGAACGACGAGGAGGGAGAGAGAGGCAGGGAACGACTTTACCCTGAGGACGACGGTAACCCGCCAACAGTTCTCAGGGGAGAGATGTTTTAAAAATGTCTCTCAGGCTACCACGTGGGAACGGATGGAGGAGACAGGAACGAGTGCCAAGCGCCAGGTGGGAGGGGGCGCGGCCTGGCCTGGTGGTGGCAGGCGGCAGGGAGAGGATGACCGAGAGTCTTGAGAAGCAGAATGAGCGGTGCAGGGAGCGGCAGCCCCCGTTGGTTCGCTACACCGGTGCCCAGGGCAACTCCCTTCTCCTGAGCCCCCTAATCCCAGAGCCTGGAAAAGTATGTTCCCAGCCTCCCTTACAGTCAGAAGCGGCCACAGGACACAAGCTCTAGGCAGAGAATTAAGCGGAATTCTGCTTTTGCTTTCCTGATGGAAGAGGTCACTGCAGCTGCTGCCACGCCTTCCCTCCAGGCTTGCACACAGCCAGGAAGCCTGGACCTGTGGCAGCCATCTTGTGAACGTGAGGCAAGAAGCACGGGCCGAAAGCCAAGTCGCCCACGATGGTGAAGCAGAAAAGAAGTCTGGGTTCCTGGCGGTGGTGCTGAGCAGCAGAATGGATTTCTAACTAAATACCTAAGGGCAGAGTGAATGAAAGGGGAAAGTGATAGTGAGGGGGTGGGAGGGGACAGGGAATACCAGTAGGTCTCCAGTTTGGGCAAATGGGTGGACGGCTGTACCGTCACTGAGAAATGGCCTAAGGGCGGAAGAGGAGCAGGTCCGGGAGGAAGGTGCTGAGCTCAAGCCTGGATGGGCTGAATTTGGTGAGGGACACCCAGGGTGAGAAGCCAAGCAGATCGGGGGCTAAGAGGTGAAGTCTGGCTGGAGATCCGGGAGCCCTGGCACAGAGATGGAGGTAAGCAGGACTGTATGTAAGGTAAAAATGGAGCCAACCGGGTCAGCAGCTGCAGGATGCCCTGCACCCAGGCCTCATGTGTTCCACAGGGGCCTCCTGTCGCAGGGGGGGAACCACAGATGAACAACACTTTCTTCCAAGTGGGGAGCCAATTGAAAGCAATGGGTGGGGCGGATGCTGGGTGCTGAGGGCCTGGCAGGGCCGTCGAGGTTGGTGTGGGGAGGAGCCTGAGGGGGGGCCCCCTGAGGAAGCAGGACCTGGGCTAGGGGCAGATCCCTCTTCCTTTTTGCTAACAGATCTCATTCCACCACAGACAGCACCTGCCCGGACTAAAAGACTACTTTCCCAGTCTCCCTTGCAGCTGGGAGTGACCGATGAAACGTGTGATGTTTTTTGGTGGGACTGCCTGGAAAGTTCTATAAATGTGGGTGTGGTGAGATAGCTGGGCGGTGCCATGTTTGACCTTCCACCTTCCTTCTACCTCCTGCCTGGAACGAGACATGACAGAGGGGGCTCCAGCAGCCATTTGGTTTATGAGGGGCCCTGGAGGCTAGAGGCCAGTGCTGGGTATCCAATGACATTGTGGTGCCACCATACCAGCCCCGACCACCTATTTTCACATTTCTTTCATTCAAAAGAAAAAGCCTATTAATCTGTTTAAACTACTGCTTTTATTTCTGTTGGGATGGGGGGCTGCTGGGATAACCCTAGCTAAGGAAGGCTGAAACCTGATGGCTGAGCTGATCTTACTGAGGGTTCCCTGTGTCAGCCAACGGGCGAGGGGCTTTACATGCCAGGTCTCACCTGGTCGGGTGGGGTGGGGTGGGTTCTCTCATTATTTCTATGTTTTAATACACTAAAGAAACCGGGGCAAAGACAAGAAAAATCACCTGCCTAAAGTCACATTTCTGACTGGACCCACGTCTGCCAGGTTCCAAAGCCCCCGTCTGCGCAGACAACCCAGGGGTCAGGAAGGAGCCCAGCCATGTGAGAGAGGGTGGGAGGGGTGGCCTGGTACTGAGGCCATGCAGAGGGGAGCAGATGGCCCAGGCCACAGTGAATGGGAGACGGGGTGGACAGGAAGGGCAGGTCTTGATCCTGTGGACGGTAGGAGCCAAGGGAAGTTTCTGGGCAGGTGGAGAACCCACACATAGTGCTCCTGTGAGCAAGAGAACCAGGGAGCTGGCTGCCCGCCTGATCTGCTCGGAACTGTTCTCAGTGGGCCTCGTGCTCTCAGTGCACAGTGGGGTCACAGTGGGGTCACCTGGGGGCCTGATACAAGTGCAGACTGCCAAGCCCATCCCCACTCCTGAGGACGAGCCTGCCCAGCATTCTTCCCACTTTCCTAACAGGAACCCCATGCTCCTGCTCTCCGTCTCCGCAGCCTGGGAGGGACGGACTCCAGGCCTCTGCGCCCTTGGTTCCTGGGGATGGGCACGTGGCCCCGGCTTGGCCGGTCAATCACATGGGCTGGCTCAAGGGGGTTCTGTGACCAAAGCCTGGCCAGTAAGCATCAGCTCTGGGCCTTCTGCTGGAACATTAGGGACCAGACATTCTCTTTCCACTGCTAAACAGAAAGGATAATAATTGCAAGATTGGTATCCATGACAAATGCCAGTCTCACTGTTCCTAAGGCCACTACACAGGCCACCATCAATCCTCACAGCAACCCCATAAAGTAGCTAGAGACGAGAAAACTGAAGCACTGAAAGGTTAAGCAACTTTTCCAGGGCCACAGAGCTAGAGAGTGACAGAATGTGGACTCGAACTGCAGTCTAGCTCCAGAGCCCGTACCCTGAACTCTTTCTCTGCCACCTCTCCGTGAATCTGGAGCTTCCAGAGACCACCGCAGCTTGAGAATGAAGGAAGCCAAGGCAAAGGAGAGCCGAAAAGACACTCAGAGAGAGAAACACGTCTGAAAACATGTTTTGAGCCCCCTGGGTCCAGCTGTGCCTGAAACAGGGCCTTATGGACCTGCAGTTAGTCGAGTCACCCAATTCCCTCTTTGCTGACACTGCTTTGACTGGGTCTCTGTCAGCTGATGCTAACACAGCTGAGTGTCCCACCGCAGCACAGCGGACACGGGCACTCCCGGAAGCACCGAGAGCCACCCTGTTTCTCAGGACTGTGAGCGCCTGACAGGAAGGGGAGTCCAGTCTTCTCCTGCCTGCCCTCTCCCAGCACAGCTAAGCCCCCAGCCCGGCGTACAGCAGGCTTTCCGTGATCTGGTCCACCCTTCTGCCCTTGGGCAGGACCCTCCCACCCTCTTCCTCCAGAGCCCCAGCAGAACCCCAAGAACTCTAGGGACCTCAAGACAAGGCTCTCCACTGCACTCCCGCCTCCTTGGGAGCTGTCTTTTGGCCCAAACACAGGTAGGGGGACCTCAGGTAATCCCATGCCCCTCTCCCCAGCCCATGCCCATGCACCTGTCTCTGGGACTCATAGAGGATGCGGTCCATGGTGTTGAGCAGCGTCATGGTCTTGTAGAACTTGAGCACCTTCTCCTGGGGCAGCTGCAGATGGAGGCACAGGCATAGGTGGGCCAGTTGGGACCAGAGGGGAGGAGACGGGCAAGGGGCCTGGGCATGGAGGCACGGGGTCGGGGGGAAGCGGCCTCTCACGTGGGGATCCTCGCTGGGATTGATGATCTGGCCCTGCCGGTCCATGACGCGGTAGATGGGGATCCCAGAGATGACATTGGGCTGGATGAACTCGAGCTTGTCTATAAACTCCGCCGAGGCCCCTGGGAACTGGGGCTTGTCATCCAGGGACGAGAAGTGCTGCTGCTGCCTCTGGGGATGCTGCGGAGAGAAGGCGGGGGAGAGGGGGGAGCAGACACCCATGTCAGGAGCAGCAGAGGCTCTGCAGGCTCAACCCCGCAGCGGCAGGCAGCACGGCCTGGTGATTAAGCCACCACAGCCACGGTGGACTCTGGGGCCCGATGCACAGGGTCTGAATCCCGGCTCGGCCACCTTCCCAGTGTGTCACACGTTGGGCAAGCTCCTACAACTGCTTTGTGTCTCAGCTCTCAGCTGTAAAATTGGGGTGAAAAATCATAATATCTATCACACAGGGTTGCTGTAAAGGTTAAATAATCTAATAAAGTGGCAGGCAGCTCAAGAACCAGTAGCTATTATTATCAGAGGCCCAAACTCCTCACCCTGGCATTCAAGGCCTCCCCAGGGCTGACCGCCGCTACCCCGTCCTCTCCATCTCCCACGGCTACCACAGACACACACACACCGCTGCACAGCGACCTCCAGTCAGCCAGAAGGGCTCTTTACTGACCCCTCTACCCACAAGGAGGCCACCCAGCTTAGAGCTTATGTCTGTGAGCCCTTAAGAGTCAGCCTGCCAAGTTCAAATCCCTTGCTGAGTGACCATGGGAACGGGACTTCCCCTCTTCAAGTCTCCCCTTTCTCAACCTGTAAAATGGGGAACACCGCATGGAAACATTGCGCGGCTCAAACAAAATCACGTGTATAAAACGGCGAGCAGAGTACTTGTACGTATAGTAAAGGCTCAAAAAGATGCCGATTATCGTTTCTACCACCACATCTCTTGCTCTCTTCTCTGTACCAGAAGGCCTCTTTCCCCACCACCTGGCAAACTGCTCCACACACTTTACCACCCTCTCCACTCCAGTTCAGGAGCCCAGACTGACTCATTCAACAAATATTTGAGCACCTGCTTCGTTCCACGGCCTGTGCTGGGTTCTGGGGACCTAAGCGAGGCAAGACACCTGTCCCTGCAGCCCAGCAAGGAAGACAGAGGTTCAACAAGTAACGCCGAGCGGATGAGGGTGACACGTATTCTCCCAGGAGAAGCCATGGGGTGAGAGCAGAGTGGAAAGAGGGTAAGGTTCTCCTGAGGAAGTCATAAGAGAGCTGGGACCTGAAGGATATCTAGGGGTCAGGGAAAGAGCATTCGAAGCTGGGGTAACGGGACACACAAAAGGCAAAAGGTGAGCAATGGCATGCCCCTTGTGGACCTGGGAAGGAGTCTCATGGGAAGCATCACACCCCGGCCCCCCCGGCTGAGAGGAGGCCTGTTGGGGAAAGCCCGGGAGAAGCCTACACGTGCACCAGGAGGGGAACGAATTCCATTTCTCAGCACTTGAGCTAGAATGCCCTGAACTAGGCTGAGCACTGCAACAGTGCCCCTGTAGTAAGCCTTTGCCGGGCACCAGGCTGAGGTCCGCGTGCAGAGCCCTCACTGAGTCCTCAGAGCACATCCGTGAGGCAGAGTATGTACTGCTGCCCCTCAGACGAGGAAACCCAGGTTCAGGCAGGTAACATAACCGCCCTGCACCAGGCCCCAGGGCTAAAACAGATAAGTCAGGACTGGGCTTCCAACCTGGGCAGGGCTGACACCCAGACCCCTAAACCCAGGCCCCGAACCCCAGCTGCCACTGCTGGCCCACTTTGCACACATCTGCATCTTTACTTTCCACCGGTCGCCAGGTTCCTCTCAGCTCAGTAACTGTGGCTTCACTTCCAATAGGTGCTAAAGAAGAATGTCTGGGCTCGTCGTGAGCTGGAGCTCACACATGGGTGCTCAAATGTGTTCCCCGCCCTCCCTCCTTTCCCGCCCTCCCTCCTTTAATTGCGGCAAAGAGGCCTTCCCAGGTTCCAGCAGGGGAATGTGTACCTGTGTGCATTTATCTGCATTTGTGATTGTGAGGATATAAAGGAAATTATACTCCCAACGGCAGGGCGGGCCCAGGCCTGACAACAGCACAGCAGCGGCCCAACTCTTGCAGACCGTGCTTCCGCCTTCTGAGCGCTCACGCGGCCGGACCCTTCCATTCACCTAGAGGATCCATTCCTCTCATGTGTATCTCCCACACACATCACAAGCTCCAGGGAGGCAAGAAGCATGTCCATATTGGTTTACAGAACACACACTTCAACAGCCAATTACTGACCGAACGGATGAATGAGCGGTTAAGTTCACTGGCTTAGTTAGAATCAGACTGACCTGGATGACCTAGGTTCCAATTTCGCAGCTCACTGCACAGCCCTCTGCAAAACACCATGTCTCTAAATTTCCTTATCTGCGAAAAGGCTGCAGAGGGCTGCTGCAAAAAGTTCCTAAGGCACACGAAGGGTTCAGCAAAGGCACGGGACACGTTACATGCTCAAAAATTGGTAAAAGAGGAAAAAAACCAAAATCTAGGGTCAGGAAATGGGAAAAAGGAAACTGACTGGCACCCTGGGAAGATGGGGAAGAGAGGAGCTGGGGAGAAGGGCTGACTGCATCTCAAGACTGTATTGTAATTCCAGGCCGAGGCCCCAGCAGACACTCCAGAGAGAGGCTGAGACAAGAGAGATGCCATCTGGGGAGGGGCTCTAGGACGGGAGGCCAGGGGCCAGGAGGACAGGGTCATGGGGCTCCGAACAAACCCTGGTGTCAGGGCAGGACTGTCTGCCTCCAGAGGCTGGAGGGCTACAGTCAGGGTACACTGATGCCCCCTGTACCCTGGAGTTGGGCTTTGGCCGTGCCCACTCTTCCTGGGCCTGTAGAGATGAAGGTGGTACCTACCCCATGGTTACTGTGTTGATTCCTTGAGCTACCAAAGGGATCGGCACAGTGCCTGGCCCTGAGGAAATGCTCCATGATGGGAGTGGGTGGTAAAATGCCTGCAGAGGAAATATGTGTCTCCACCCATTTTCCCTTCTTTTTGGTGGGGGAGTGGGTTTGTCCTGGTGGCAGTGACCTACAATGGCAGAAGCTGCACAGATTTACACAAAGCCTTGAAGCCATGCTCTCTCCTACCACACAGGACACAGACGCCTGTTCTGGAAGGCCAAGGTCTGCCCCACACGTACTGGGGTGGCCCCTCCTCGAGCCACTCCCTACGGGGCCACAGTTAAGGGCAGGGACTCTGAGCTGACTGCTGCCTTCGGGAGTGTAAGTACAGCTCCTGGAGCATCATTTTCCTCATGTGTAAACCAAGGGCGGTATGAGCATCTATCTCACAGATGGTCCTGATTTTTTTTTTTACAGTGCTTTTTTTAAAAAATTTATTTATTTATTTTTGGCTGCATTTATTTATTTCGTTGCTGTGCGTGGTCTTTCTCTAGTTGCGGCCAACAGGGCCACTCGTTGCGGTGCGCAGGCTTCTCATTGCGGTGGCTTCTCTTGCTGCGGAGCACGGGCTCTAGGCGCGCAGGCTTCAGTAGTTTTGGCATGAGGGCTCAGTAGTTGTGGCTCGCGGGCTCTAGAGTGCAGGCTCAGTAGTTGTGGCACACGGGCTTAGTTGCTCCGCGGCATGTGGGATCTTCCCGGACCAGGGCTCGAACCCACGTCCCCTGCATTGGCAGACGGATTCTCAACCACTGGGCTGCCAGGGAAGCCCGGTCCTGAGGATTTAAAGAGCCCCTGTGTGTACAGTGCTCAGCCCAGTGCCTGACACGTAACAAACACTCGATAACTATGACTAGCTAACAAGTGTACTTGATGACCGTAGCGGTCAAACAAGTAATCATTGAATATTTGCTCCAAGTCAGGCCCTGAACTGAGGGCTGGGGACAACGGGGAGAGACGGATGACAGACACTGAACACACAAGTCATAGTCAGGAGGGGCGATGTCGGAGGAGGCAGGATCGCAGAGAGGTTAGTTAACACACAGGCAGGGTAGGATGAGGGCTGGAGAGCCAAGCGGCCTGTGTTTGAATCCTGGCTCTGTCCCTTTCCAGCCACGTCACCTTGGGTAGGAGACTGTCTCCCTGAACCCGCGTCCCCTTGTGGAAATAAGAGTTTCTATTTCACTGGCTGGTGGTAAGGCGGGTATAAAGCACCTGCCGTAGCTCGAGGAGGAAGCCTTTCACTAGCTGCATCGCATGCAGGAGGAAAAGCTTCCTGGAGAAGGCGGAGCGAAGCCGAGGCCTGAGGGACGAGGAGGGGTGAGCCAGGCAGAGGCTGGGGGGAAAACACGTCAGTCCTTGGGAAGGACAAAGGCTCCGAGGCAAGAGGAGAGATCCTGGCACCCTGGAGACCACCTGGCTGTAGCACGTTAACCACAGCAGTTAACTACGTGCCTCGGCGCCGCACCAGGCACCTGCTGTATGGTGCCTGTGACTCACTGAACCTGCACGGTACCCAGGTGAAGCAGGCGCCATGACCACACCTCCGTACCACACAGGTGGCCCCGAGGCTCAGAGGGGTTAGGTGACTTGGCTGTGACCCAGGGAGATCATGCGCGGTGATGTCAGCATCTGAAGCCAGGCAGCCTGCCCACTACAGGGCAGCTGGAGAGAAGAGCGGGGTCCAGCCCGGGAAGGCTGTGTGGATGGTGCCAGGTAACCGAGTCCTCGGAAGCTAGGACAGCTGAGGCCAGCCAAGCCTGCTCTCTCTCTGGAGTCTGAGGCGCTCTGCCTCAAAGAGTGCAAAGCTGACCTTGGCTTTACTTCCAGCTCGGGAGTGTCGGTGACTTCATCAGTGGCCTCCCCTTCCAGGGGGATCCGGCTGGGGAGGCCAGGGAAGCGTGGACATGCATCAGGCTTTCTCTGGCCTCAGGGACCCGGCGGCTTCAGCAGCACTAAGCTCCCCAGCCACTGAAGATGGGAAGCATCCTTTCCCTGCATCAGTCAAGGCCGCGACAGGTTCACTGTTCCTGGGGGAAAGCAGCAGCCGCCATTTCTTGAGCCCTTACCGAGCACATGGATGTACGTGTAAGTGCTTCCTAAGAGCTGTTTCCTTTCACCCTCAGCGTATCTCTCTGAGGGAGGTACTGCTATTGTCCCTGTTTTACACATTGAGACCAGTCATGGGGTCAGGAAAGCTTCTCTGAGGAAGTGAACTCTCAGCCTGACACCTGAAGGACCATATCCCTACAAAGGCCTCCGGGTGGGAGGAGCTCATCCAAGGAAAGGGGAAAACGGCCAGTGGGGCTGAAGGGCAGTGAAGGGAGGGCATGGTGGGGGCTGAGGTCGGCTCTTCCCACCCCCTCTTCCCACCAGCCCCAGGCAGTCTGATGATACACACCATGTATGGGCTAAGCAGGGTGCTGCAAGGCCTGAACCGAAGCCCTACCCCTTCTCCTCCTGGCAGCCTGCTACTGTGGAAGGAGACTAGGCTTTGGAGACCGGAGCTCCAAGTTCAGACCTCACCTCTCTGAGCTTCAGTCTCCTCCCCTGTAATAGAAGAAAACTACCAGTACATACCTTGCAGTATGGCAGTATTAAATACAATAATGAAAAAAATTAAAAAAAATACAATAATGGTGTCAGTTGGCACTATAAATGATAAAGTGCTTCATTAAGACTAGCCAAGGACTTCCCTGGTGGCGCAGTGGTTAAGAATCCGCCTGCCAATGCAGAGGACACGGGTTCGAGCCCTGGTCCAGGAAGATCCCACATGCCGCGGAGCAACTAAGCCTGTGCGCCACAACTACTGAGCCCGCGTGCCACAACTACTGAAGCCTGTGAGCCTAGAGCCCTGCTCCGCAACAAGAGAAGCCACGACAATGAGAAGCCCGTGCACTGCAATAAAGAGTAGCCCCCAGCTGAACGCAATTAGAAAAAGCCCAACGCAGCCATAAATAAATAAATAATTTTATTTAAAAAAATTAAATGAGAACTGCAATTCCTCTGTCACGCTAAGCCACATTTCCGGTGCTCAGCAGCCACGTGTGGCTAGTGGCTACTGTACTGGACAACATAGATTTAGAACACTCCTATCATTACAAAAAGTCCTATTGACCAGATCAGGCTCAAAATCTTTGACTAAATGCTACTACTCCTTCCCTCCCCTCAAAAAAAAAAAAATTTCCTTTTTAAATCTTAAGAAAAAAACAAGTGAGGGGCTTCTCTGGTGGAGCAGTGGTTGAGAGTCCGCCTGCTGATGCAGGGGACACGGGTTCGTGCCCCGATCCGGGAAGATCCCACATGCCGTGGAGCGGCTGGGCCCGTGAGCCACGGCCACTGAGCCTGCGCGTCCGGAGCCTGTGTTCCACGACGGGAGAGGCCACAACAGTGAGAGGCCCGCGTGCCGCAAAAAAAAAAAGAAAAGAAAAGAAAAGAAAAAAACAAGTGATATACTTAAAAGTGGAGAAGAAAAAACAGGGACTCTAAAAATATAAACGCAAAACGTAGAGACTCTGAAAGACCTCCTGCTCCCAACCCAACCCGCCAAAAAAAAAAGGAGGGGAAGTAAGCGTGAAGGGCAGCAAGGAGACTGAGCCAGGAAGGAAGCCGATTTAATCAGTCATGAATGACCCTTCCCTACTCCTGCCCCAGTCCAGCCCACCCCCACCGCGCAGGCCCAACCAATGGGCTCTAGGGAGCTCAGCGGTGGGGAATCTGCTCAAAAACAAAACAAAACAAAACTGACCGAGAACAGCCCAAAGGCAGGGACTCTCCCACCTCCATCTTGCTCCAGCAGCCCTTTGGAAATTACCTGCTTCAACTCCCTTCCCAGGTGTCCCCACACCTCACTCCCAGCCCATCTTCTTGCCCCCATTTCTCTCCCTAGCTAGACCTTCTTCCCACAGATTCTATCTTCCCTTCCCAATGGTTTGGGCATCAGACGGTCAGGCCCAACCCCACAAGATCTTGATAGATTTCCCGCCAAGGCCCTCACCAACCCAGACCCTCCCAAGGTCACCTCCTTTCTTCTTCCCCCATCTCCGAGGCCAGTTTCTGTCCCTTCCCTCCACCCTCACTTTCAACAGCGGCCAACATTCCGATTGCACTCGTCATATACGAGGTCCTGTTCTTAGCACTTTACACATTTAATTTACACAACCCTAAGATGTGGCCATTGTTAGCATTTTACAGAGAGGGAAATTAGGTCCAGAGAGGAGCAGTCCCTTGCCCAAAGCTACCGAGCTGGAACGTGGCAGATTAGGGACATGGTGCCACATGGTCTAGCTCCTGAGCCCAACTTCTTAACCACGACTCTCTTATGTGCGAAATCTTAGTTCACTGCTTTTCTCAGCCCCCGGCCTCTCTCCTAAGTAGCGGCTTCTAACTAGATTTCTGCTGTGTGAGCTAGCAATTAGCAGCATCAACCTAACACTTTTGACAAGAAACAAGGCATTTCTCAAGTGTTTCTAAGAAATGTGGGCTAAGTGCTCTGTCTGGACCTCTCTCCCCCCGCCCCCGCTCCCACTCCCTCATTAATTCAACAAATATTTATTGATCATCTTCTCTGTACAGTCATCAAAACCGACAAGGCATTCTATCGGGGGCACAGGATCAAACGACATTTTTACGCAATTCACTTTAAAATCAGAGTTGGAGCAAAGGGCACCATAAAAGCCCCTGGGGGGAAACCTGATCTCTCTTTTCTCCTCCTTGAAGCGGGGGAGTCTTTACCGAGAAGAAAGTCTGTCCCTTACAAAGGCAGTTTTCTCCAACCACCGAGAGGAAAGGTCACACCTCCCCCCCCTCCGCGTCCTCCAAGCGGCCTCCCCTGGGGAACGGCGGCAACTAATAAGAAGCTCCCTCGCTCTCTCCAAGTTGTCTCTCTCCTTCAGGGTTACAAAGGAGCTGCCTGGCTTTTCTCCTCCTAAGGAACTGGAAGTTCTTCCCTTGGGTGTCCTCTCCAAGTGGTTCTCCCAGCCCTTGCCCCTTCTGTAAAAGCCCTTCCTCCACTCCCTAGAGGGACCCCCACACTCTGAAGACAGCGTAAACATCCCTATACCTCCTTGGAGAAAACTCCCCGTTGTCCCAGGTACTCACTGATCTAGCCAGCCCACGAGCCCCTGACCGCCGCAGAAGGAGAAGGCCAACCCGGCCCAAGCCTCGACTTGATCCCCAAACCCTCGCCGCAGCAGCCGCCACCGCCATCTTGGCTAACAATCCCTCGCCGATCCGCCCCTGAACGGCGAGCTTGGGGCTGCCACTTCATAAGCCTGACGCAAATGCCAGCATTACCCTGTCAAGAAACCACCTGCTACTAGTCTTGCGGTCTCTAGGGCACATATGTAGATGGATAAAACAATCTAGCTTCCCCAAAATTACTCTGACCGCCTCATCGCAGTTGTTCCTGTAACAGGCAAAGAAGAGGGCAACCTGACCAGAGCCTCAGGGTTTCAGGGCCCGGGGACCTCGGGTAGGACGTGTCAAGGCCTTCCCTCTCTTCTGTCCAATGGCTTTCCTGGACTTTCGAGGGGGGAGTGGGAGGGACCAAATTGTTAGTAAACGCGGAGCCACGTGCGGCAGCTGATCCTGGAGACCACCCCCGCCCCCGCCCCGGGTCGGCGCGTGCGCACTAGGTACGCAGTCTGTAAGCAAGCCCGCGCTTCTGCGCGGAAGCGACAATCCCGGCTGCACGTGGGCTCCGGGGCGATGGAGGGAGTGATGCAGACTGAGACTAAGATCCGCGCTGAGTCTGGAATAGAGTCCGGCCCTCGGGGTCCCGGTTGTAGCCTCCGGAACTTTGCCTGCGAACAGAATTTGTTGTCCCGGCCCGATGGCTCGGCCTCTTTCCTGCAAGGTAGGAACTCACCCAGGTCGTATTCGTTTTAGGGCGCGGTTACAATGTACTGTGCTAGCTGGTAAATATTCCTCCTGGACTGGTGCATTTCTTGCCGGGGTGGATACTACTGCATACATATACCTCTCCCTCCAGACTAGCCGGGAGAAGGTATTTCCACTTTGGTAAGTACTCAGAATGAGGGAGGGGCAGACCTCCTCTTAAGAACGAATACTCCAGCATAGGGGAAATCTCCTTACCCGGGTGTCTCCCTTGACTAGGTTCCTCCGCCGCCTCCCACACACGCACCCTGCGTCCATACATCCCGGGGTGAGGTAAACCCCTTTGTTCGCATAAATACCCGGTAGACTGGCAGATCACCACTAGCGGTTTAATAACTCCCTGGACCCGTGGCAGATCTTCTACCGAAGTAGATACTTATCAGATTGAGGGTGATGTCCCCAGCCCCACCCCCACCCATTGGGTAAATATCCCTTTGACTGGGATACACAACTCTTTCTATATCCCTAAGATTGGGGCAGGTCTTACCTATTAGGTAAATATCCCCTTCCCCTAGCTAAATAATTCTCAGACTAGACTCACCTCCCTGACCCCGGGAAATATTCCTCTGGAGACAGGCCTAAGGATCATCCCCATAAATGCTTCAGGCCCTGCCTTAGGGCATTACCTCAGACCCAGGTACAGAACCTGCTTTCATTCATTCCGTCATTGAACACACGTATTTTTGCTAGCACTGAGAATACATGGATAAAAATTTTTTTTAAATCCCAGCCCTAATGGAGTTTACGTTCTAGTCAAAGAGACAGACAAAAGATAAGTAAGTAAAATATATAGTAACATGCTGTGGAGAAAAATATAGTAGGGAAGAGGATTAGGGTGTGCCAGAAAGGGTTGCAGTCTTAATTAGGATGGTAAGGAAAGGCCTCACTGAGATGGTACCTTCTGAATAAAAACCTAAAGGTAAGAGAGCAAACCCTAAAGAGATCAAGAGGAAAACTTACCAAGCATTGGGAACCTCTGAGGCCAAAACTTGCTTGGTGAGGAATAGTCAGGGAACAAGTGTGGCTACAGCAGAAACAGGAGGCGGGAAGGAGGTAAGGAGGCCTGCCCGTCACGTAAGGCCTAGCGATTGAGAATGGAGCCATGTGACATGATCTGAATATATATTAACAGAATCTCTCTGGCTGCACTGTTGAGGTTAGAGGGGGAAAGGGGGAGGTAAGGGTGGCTCAGACCAGAGTGGAAGCAGTGCAGGGGGTGAGATTCTGAAGGGAAAACTGACAGATTTTGCAGATGGGTTGGTTTGGGGATACGAAAAAAAGGAGTCAGGGATAACGCGAAAGTTTTTTTCCCAGATCAGCTGTGCTAGGAGAAGATGAGTTCAGTTTGGAACATTAAATTTACAATGCATAGTAGACATCCCCGTGGCAGTGTGGACTGGGCAGTAGTACATACAAGTCTGGAATTTGGAATCCTTCGGCTATAAATAGTATTTCAAGCTACCGATTGGTAAATGGTATTTCAAGCTACCGATTGGATGGGATCACCAAGAAAATTAGTATAGATGGAGAAGAGAAGCGGTCCCAGGACTAAGCCCTGGGTCTTCTAGCTTGTGCAGAGCTAGGAAAAGACACTGAGAAGGAGAAGATAGTAAGGTAGGAAGAAAACCAAGAGAGGGCGGTGACCTGGAGCCCAGAGAAGAACGTGTTTGAGCTGTAAGGGCCAACCAACTGCATTAGTCCTACTGAGAGGCTACATCACGTGAGGATGGGCTAGACCTGTGGGTTGACAACTTGGACGTATGTCATTGGTGGCGCAGTCGAGCTGTTCTGGTGGAGGGATGGGGTCAAGGAGGAAAAGAAAGAGTCAGTGAGTGGAGACAGCTCTTCAGGAGCTTTGCTGTAAGAGAATCAGATAAATGGGGCAGGAGTTAGATGGATGTGGGGTCCAGAGGGGAGGGACTCTTGTGCTCACTGGAGTAACAGGAAGGAAGGCCCCAGTGTGGCTCTTGTTCTGCTTGGATAATTTCCCCCTTCGGGTGCATTCTCCTGGAGCCGGGAGAATCCCCTCCATTGTGTGGCAGCTCCTCCCCGCCAACCCCAGGGAAAAAAAGGCCTCTACCCGGGACCTCCCCAGGGCTTAGCTCTCTTGCTAAATGCAGATGCCTGGAGTTCCTTAGCGCTTAAGAAATACTGAGTCCCTTTTGTGTTCTAAAACCCCAAAGCCCAGGACCCTGGAGCAGGGTCCTTTGCAGACCTTCAAAAGTGTGTCCCACATGCTTCTGGCCTCAGAATCTCTGATGAGGTTAAAAATGCAAAGCCTCAGAACCTACCCACTCCCAACTAAGGCTGGCCTTCTACATTTTTGAATTAATTGCTGTGGTGAGTCTGACTGCAGCCCAGTGTTTTGAAGCTTTGCTGGAGCTCCGTTTCTTCCCACTGCAGGTTGCAGGCCCAGCTACACAGTAGAATGGCCTGTGGTGCTCTGAGGCTGCTGGTGCCTGAGCCCCAACCCCCAGCAATGGAATTAGGCTCTCTGGGGGAGGGACCTGGGCATCAGTATCTTTTAAAGCTACGCAGTGAGTCCGTCGTGCAGCCAGGGTTGAGAACCACTGCGTCATTCGTGGTTATTTTTAACTGGAATAGAGTAGAAGATATCAGAGTATATCAAAGCAATAACGGTAAGAGTTGTTTTGTGAGGCTTTTGTTCCATTTACATGCACACAGATTTGGGTGAGTTTTAGGTCCTGCTCTAAAGCGTATTTCTTATTGGGAGTTAGGGTCAGGAAAGTTTGCAAGCTGCTGCTGACGTCCAGTGTCCTCATTCTGCAGATGGTGAAACTAAGGCCCAGAGAAGTGAGCAAAATCGGCTGAGGTTACAGAGCCTGGAGGAAATAAGCAGGCGTCAGGCCCCACCCCCAGATATTTATCTCTTTCTCAGGTGTCCTGACTGCTGCACAGTTTGGGGATGTGAGCCTGAGGGAAGAGAGCTGGGCTAAGGGAAGCTTTGGATGGAGAAGTTGGGACCAGCAGCAGTAAGAGGGAGAAAGTTTCGCTCTCAGGAAGAACTTCCCATTAAAGTTTGTAGTAATAGCTAAAGTCTTTTGGGCACTCAGCACTTACAGGCACAGTCGTAAGTGGTTTTCTTTTTATCTCATGTAATCCTCACAGCTGTGAGGGAGGTACTGTGGTTATCCCCATTTTACAGATGAGGAAGTTGAGGCAGAGAAATGAAGCAAGTGCTCAAAGAATCACTGCCAACAAATGGTGAGCCACAGTGAGGGTGATGTGGGCAACCCTGGCCACCTGGCTCAGGGCCCACAATGTTAAGTGCCAGGCGTTGGGCCCCAGAGGCAGGGAAGATTTGGGTGAGGCCTCCCATGCTGTCTCCCCAGGGGATACCTCCGTCCTGGCAGGCGTGTACGGGCCAGCAGAGGTGAAAGTCAGCAAAGAGATCTTCAACAAGGCCACACTGGAGGTGAACCTGAGGCCGAAGATCGGTCTGCCTGGTAATTGGGCCTCTCACCCGGTGTCTCCCTCACTGCTTTTCCTGGTCTCCACTCCCCCCCTCCCTCTCATCACCCCTCAGCTTTTTTTTTCCCTTTTTTTTTTTTTTTTTTTTTTTTTGATATTTATTTATTTTGGCTGTGCCGGGTCTTAGTTGCGTCATACGGGCTCTTAGTTGCGGCATGCATGCAGGACCTAGTTCCCCAACCAGGGATCGAACCTGGGCCCCCTGCTTTGGGTGTGCGGAATCTTACCCACCGGACCACCAGGGAAGTCCCCTGCCCTCAGCTATTTCTGTCTCTTTCTCCAACTCTCTGCTTCTGAGTCCCTGTTTCTGTCACTTTTCTCTCTTTCTCCCTGTCTCTCTCCATCTTCACTTTCCCCTCCTCTTTCCTGGCTCCATCTCTCCTCCTTTCCATTAACCTGTTTTTCCACTCTTTTACTCTGTCCCCCTCACTCCCCAGGGCTGGGCCCACTGGGATGGGAGTGGACAGCAGCACTGGACATGGGAGCTCAGAGGTTCTCTTCCCCGGGAGGCTCCTTTGGTGGGTGCTGGAAGTGGCAGGGGTCTGGTGGGTGGCAGTCAGGCCCTGCCTCCTTCCCACTGGGACTCCTCTGTTATCCATTCAGGGTCTTCCAGCAGCCCAGACTGGGACTGCAGGCCCTTTTCCAGAGGGCTTGGGTGGGGCATATGGAGGAAGGTGAGCCAGATGGAAGGGAAGAGCCTGACAACCCCACCCCACCCCTGATTTCCCCAGGCGTAGCGGAGAAGAGCCGGGAGCGGCTGATCAGAAACACGTGTGAAGCGGTGGTGCTGGGAGCTCTGCACCCCCGCACCTCCATAACCGTGGTGCTGCAGGTCGTCAGCGATGCTGGCTCTGTATCCTTTCCCCTAGGCCACCTCCTCCAGGAAGTCCTCCAGAATCCAAAGCCTGTGCCAGTGACCTCAACTCTGACCCTGAGCTTGGATTTGAGGCTCAACACCGGGGGAGCCCTGAGCAGGTAGAACCTTAGGTTCAGCAGCTGAGCCTTGAAAGATCGCTGTGGTTTGGGTAGAGGTAGAGAAAGGTAGAGGCCAAGGACCAGAAACAGGCATTTCTAGATGGCTTTGCAGGTGCATGGCCCTGCGTTGGGCAGACACTTCACAGATGAGGGAAAAGGAGGACTGTTGCGAACCCATTTCACAGAGGGGAGGCAATGGAGGGTCAGTGGCAGAGGTGGGACTGATTGATTGTGAAACTGGGCCCTGGGGAGGAAAGACTTGAGGAAACTGAGGTGGGGCCACCTGTCTGACTCAGGCCTGTGCTCACCTTGCACTATGCCAGGGCCACACCTCTCCCCTGGACTGGGCTCCCTGAGGACACCGACCCCTCCCTCTGTCACCCTGCCCATCTATCGCCTGGTAGCACTGCATGCTCTAGATACCCCAGCTCCAGGCCTGGCTCTGCCACTGCCTACTTGTGTGATCTTGGAAGGCTTCTGTCCTCCGTTTCCCTGAAGGTGCATATCTGTTGAATATCATTATGATCCCTGATTGAGGCTCAGAGGGAATACATAACTTGCTCAAGGTCACACAGCTTAGAGGTGGCAAATTCAGATCTGGAACCCAAGGATACGTGATCCCAGAACTACTCTGCCTTTCTGTGATCAATTAGTGATGTCTGCTACAGGCACTGGCAGGGTGAATGGAGGCATGGATATGTTCTGCTGACCAGCCCTCCAGTAGAAACTCTTAAACTGGGAATTTCCTGGCGGTCCAGTGGTTAGGACTCTGCTCTCTCACTGCTGAGGGCCTGGGTTTAATCCCTGATTGGGGAACTAAGATCCCACAAGCTTCACAGTGCGGCCAAAAAAAAGGAAGAAAAAAAAGAAACTCTTAACCACTGCCTGTGGCACTCAGCTCCTGGCCTGTTGCCTGAATGCCGCCTGCATGGCACTGGTGGACGCAGGTGTGCCCATGCGGGCCCTCTTCTGTGGGGTCACCTGTGCTCTGGACTCTGATGGGACCCTCCTGCTGGACCCCACAGCCAAGCAAGAAAAGGTAGGTATGAAGGGCAGGGTGGTAAAAGGCCTTGGACAGACACTCTTCCTCTCCTCCTCTAGGCCTCACTTCTCCAAAACAGTTGGCTTGTACCACCTCAGTTTCAGCTGGTAAGCTCTGCCTTGTTCATCTGGGCAAGTGCTAGAAACCCGACTCTAACCTGCTGAAGCAAAAAGGGAACTGATTTTAAGAGGTTCAAAAACAAAAGCAAAGGAGGAAAGAGTTTTTTCTTCATTGGCTCAAGGTCACAGTGTGCTAGGGTTCTGGTTATTCCCAGTTATCTGCTCAGGACTGTTAACAGTCACATCCAGTCGGGAAAGCAGAAACCCCTGGGGGGATTTCAGACGGAATTTAATGCAAGGAACTAGTTATAACCATATTGGAAGAGCTGAAGGAGCAAAAGGGAAGAAGAGAGGACACCCAGAGATTAGAAGCCGGAAGCCCGCTCCTGCTCTGTACTGGTGGAGATACTGATGCAGTCAGATCTAGATGCACAGAGATGGGCTGGCTTTGCCCTGGCTGCTGAAGTCCAGAACCCACCCCATCTCCATGCCTCCTGTGGCAGGTGATATACCCCAAACTCCTGCTGCAATGAGGACCAAGATGCTCTCTCCTCCCTCCCAGTCTCCCACCAGATTCCTGGTAGAACCTAACTGGCAGGGGAATCTGGGAAATACAGTTTGCTGGCTTCCAGCCCCAGGGGTACAGATCACTGCAGGGAGATGGGAGGCACCGGGGAATGACCAGCACTGTGGCTGCTGCCCTTGAGGCGCAGGATACTGTGCTCTGAAGCCCCTGTCAGAACCATGTGGTGGAATTTGGCATGGGTCGCGATTACTCAAGGAAGCAGGGAAGGGGTGGTAGGTAGCCCAAAAAGAAAAAAAATACACTTGATACTTGAGTGAAAAGCAAGCCCCCTCTTTGGGACCAGCTAAGATTGTGTCTGAGGAGAGAGTCCCAGGTCCCCCACCTTGTACCCCTCATCCCTAGGAGGCCCGGGCAGTCCTGACCTTTGCACTTGACAGCGTGGAACGGAAGCTGCTGATGTCCACCACTAAGGGGCTCTACTCTGATGCTGAGGTACCAGTGTGCAATTGGGGGTGAATGCCAGATCCTTCCCACCCACCTGACATGAGGTCCTGTCCCAATCCTAGGAAGCTTAAGGAGGGCCTCGTCCTTGCATCCCTTCTGTAAATAGTTTTCAAACTTTGTAGCCACAGAAACCTTTGTGGGAATTTTAAAGGGAAGACCAATTTATGAGAAGAGGGGCACAGGTTGAAATCAAGAGATGGGGGCGCCTTGAGGCCTCCCAGCTTCCAGCTCAGAGCTGTGCACCCCGGAACTCAGGGTGTCTGAAAAACAGAGTTTGGCACCTGTTGGGCCAAATGGTCTCCAAGAATATTTCCCACCTGGCCCTCCTGTGAATCCAGGTATGCAAGGCCATAAAGATTTGGGGTCTCAGGTTCCATGGCTTTTAAGACTATTTGGAGTCACAGGGCCTGTGGCTCTAAAATTCCAATCTGGCCCCGGAGCTCAGGTTGGGGTCACGTCCAGGGGTCAGGATGCCTGATGCCTTTGGTCTGAGGGCCTGGAGCTGCTGGAACCTGACCCCTGAGCCCTCTTCCCCTTGAAGGAGCCCATGAAGTGGGGAAGAAGGAAATGCACTGAGAGTAAATCCCGCTCCATCCCGCTCCACCTGCCTCCCCTTGGGGGGCGGGGCTCCCGGTGAACTGGGAGGTGCGGCCTGTCAGGCTGTGTGGGTGCAGGCCTGGGCCCGCAGCACTAAGCCCCTCTTCCTTCCCAGCTCCAGCAGTGCCTGGCTGCAGCCCAGGCTGCCTCCCAGCACGTCTTCCGCTTCTACCGGGAATCTCTGCAGAGGCGTTACTCCAAGAGCTGAGGCACGCTGGGGCAAGCTGCCCCTCCCACCACCTCCAGCATCAAATAAACTGGTAGCCCAGCCCTGCTGAGAAAGTGGCTATAGCCAGCCCCTGGGCCCGGGGGGCACAGACTCCACCCCACCCCAGGAAAACACCAGTAGGATGGTGCATTTATTGACTGACTCTACTCATTCTAACAGCCCGGTGAAGTGGGACTGCTGTTAGAGTGTGCAGGCCCTGCTGGGTGCTGAGGCCTCAGCAGTGAATGAGGCCCACGTCCCAGGTTCGAGGAGCAGTGATGTGATGGACAAATAAAATTGGTGTTTTTTTGGATGATGGATGCTATTTAAAAAAGGGAAGATGGGTTTAGGTGAGTCGGGGGAGGGCAGATTTAATACATCAGTCGAGGACACCTCCGTGGAGAGGGGAACATCTGAGGGAAGCCCAGGAAGAGGCCAGGGACGAACTCAGGGACTCGTGGACATGTTGGGGGAGGACCCCCTGGCAGAGACGGGCAGAGGTTCAAGGACCAGCAAGGTGGCCAGTGTGGCTGGAGCAGAGGACTAAGGAGAGTAAGGAGATGGTCAGGGAGGCAGTGGCCTTCGTGGGCCTCGGAGGGGAATCTGGCTCTGAATGCTGCCTTTACCCACACGACAACCGTGTGAGGTGCGGCTGTTGTTACAGTCTGTTTTAAGGTAAGGAAACAAGGGACTTCCCTGGTGGCGCAGTGGTTATGGATCTGCCTGCCAGTGCAGGGGACACGGATTCGAGCCCTGGTCCGGGAAGATCCCACATGCCAAAGAGCACTTAAGCCCGTGCACCACAACTACTGAACCTGTGCTCTAGAGCCCTCGAGCCACAACTACTGAGCCCACGTACCTAGAGCCCGTGCTCCACAAGAGTAGCCCCCGCTCGCCGCAACCAGAGAGAGCCTGCGTGTAGTAACGAAGACCCAACGCAGCCAAAAATAAAAATAAAATTCAAGAAAGAGGGCTTCCCTGGTGGCGCAGTGGTTGGGGGTCTGCCTGACGATGCAGGGGGCGCGGGTTCGTGCCCCGGTCCAGGAAGATCCCACATGCCGCGGAGCAACTAGGCCCGTGAGCCACGGCCGCTGAGCCTGCGTATCTGGAGCCTGTGCTCTGCGGCGGGGGAGGCCACGGCAGTGAGAGGCCCGTGTACCACAAAAAAAAGAAAGAAAAGAATAAGGTAAGGGAACAAGCTCAGAAGCCAGTTAACTGCCAGAGGTCACCAGCTAGTTAAGTGGTGGAGCACGGGCCCCACTCAAGAGTCCAGACCCAGGGACTTCCCTGGCCGTCCAGCAGTTAAGACTCCACGCGTCCACTGCAGGGCGCACGGCTTCGATCCCTAGTTGGGGATCCCGCGTGCCACTTGGTGCGGGCAAAAAAAAAAGGTCCAGACCCAGAGCCCTCACTGTGCAGACACACTGGAGGTGCCAGCGCATTCTGGACCTCGGGTCCCTGTCTGTGAAAGGAAATGGCCAAGGCCTCTTGGTTCTCTCTCGGGGGTGATGGCACCCCCTGAGGGGCTTTTGGAAATGGGTGTATTTTCAGTTCTGATTTGACTGATCCCCACCCTCCCATTCAGGGGTCAGGAGCCAAGATCACGCTAGCATCCAGCAAGGCATAACGTCCCCACAGGTGGGCCACGTGGCTGCCAGGTCCTGTCTGCCACTGACGTGTAGGGTTTTATGACACATCTGGGGGCCCTGTGCTGCACACTTCACATGCTTAAACTGGCCCACACGCTGCCCACAATTGCCCCTTTGAGCAGGTGTCATTTTCATCCCCAGTAAACAAGAAGGAAATGCATAAATATCTTTACCTTGAAATTACACTCCGTGAAGACGTGCAGGAGAGCACAAACGGAATAGTGTTTTCTTCTAAGAAGCACGATTAGATGGCATTAAGTGGAATGAAAAAACTAAACCACTCTCAGTTTATTACTTGGTAATATCAGGCTCCATTTAATGTACCTCTGATAAGCTCAGAACAGGGCTGTTTTGCCTGCCAGAGTGCCAGCACTTTGAGGCCTGAGGGCCCCATCCCTCCCAATCTCAGGCTATGTGATGGGGCTGCCTCCTAGCCCGGGTGGGCCACTGAGAGGGTGCCTGGGGAAGAGGACCTTTGGGATACCAGAGCTGCCTGCTCCATTCTCCTCCCCCACGAGGCGGAGCCTGTGCAGTGAAGCCAAGAGATGGGGAGAGCAGACTATTTTATCTGAGGCCTTCAATCCAGTTCTCCCTCAGCTTCCCTTTTGTTGTGTAAGGCAGTCTGAGTTGGATTCTGCCATTTGCTGGCGAAGGAGCTCTGGTGGGGGGGCTGCTGTTTACACGGTATGACTCATTTAGTCTTCAGAACTGCTCCAGGTGTGGGAGAAATTAGTCCCATTTTGCAGATGAAAAGTGAGGCTCAGAAGGTACGTGGGCAGAGGTTACACAGTGAACTTGGAGGAGGAAGGCCTTGGAACCTGGCTTTCTCTAATTCTCTACCTATCACCCACGTTGTGAAGAGAATATTCTGCAATTTGGAAGCCCGCCGAGCTTCCTCGGATTCCCTCTTCTCTGGCTCCGAGGTGTCCGGAAGCACCCCGGGGGGCACCCTGTCACTGCGGCCCGTCCCTTACGCCTTCCCACACAGACAGACACAGGTTTGGCGGCAGGAGTGTCTGGTGTTTAATCGCTGTTTGCGGCCTCCAGGAAGGGTGGTGCGGGGGAGGGGGAGAACCGACTCACTCCCCATTTTTGGACGCTGCTGCCGCCGCCGCCTCATCCACCTGGATTCTCCACTCCGACCGCGGACGCGCTGGGAGGCCGGCCCCTGGGTTCACAGTGGGGACCGCAGGGGCAACTAGGGCGGGTCCCGGGAGGCGAGGTAGGCGGCCAGGGTCACCAGGGCGGCCGCGTACATGCACACGCCCAGCCCGACGGCCAGGACCCCCAGCAGGAAGGCGCGGCGGGAGGCGGCCCCTGCCCCCTGGACGTCCCCCTTGGCCCAAGCCTCGTTGGTCTGTGGAGGCGTTGGGCAGCGGTGACTCAGGTATCCCCTCATCCCACCCTGCTTCCCACAGCCCGACCCTCCCCCACCCAACACACCCATGTATTCATTCGTATGTTCCAAAAACATAGGGAGCAGCTACTGTGGGTCAGGCACAGTTGGGCACTGGGGATACTGGGTGATTAATAAAAATATGCATATATTACTATATGCCACAGTTCTAACTCGCTGAGCCTCACAATGACCCTGAGGCAGGAATTATTCGTTCCCATTTTACAGATGAGGAAAATGAGGCACCAGGAGTTTAAGTGGCTTGCCCACAACCTTACCAGAGGGTGGCAGGCCTAGGATTGGAGCTCAGGTTCTTAACCACCACTCTGGGCTGCCCTCTGTGAAAAATGCCTCATTTTACCCCTGAATGTTTCTATGTAAATCCTTTCTCCATCACTTTTTTTTTCCCCCCAAGTATGCCTCCTCTTTTTTTCTTTTCTTTCGAATGCATTTTTCTCTTCTCTATCCAACCCCCTCCCAGCTCCACCCACAGACTGACCTTCTGGGCCAGGCAGAAGGCGGCAATGCCCACGGGCCAGAAACAGCACAGCATGGAGAAGACAGCCAAGCCAAGGTGGTCGTGGGGCAGGAGTGGGGAGAGAAGGCCGCCCCCATCCCAGTCTGAGTCACTGTCACTGGATGACACATCCTATGGGCAGGAGACAGCCTAAGTGGTCATCTCCACCCATCCTCCTTGCCCCACTGCTCCACTCCCCATGCCCCCAAAGACACCAAGAGAGAAAAATGTTCCAAGAGGTAGGCCCTTCACTTGCCCACATCCTGGATCCCTCTGACGGGAAGCTCTGGACCCTGTCTCCAGAGAAAAGCCTCACCCACACTCAAAAGCTTTGAGTTCAATTTCAAGCTCACAGGTCCACTCATGGATACTACAGCTGCTTATAAGCTCTGAGTTAAAAACCGCTGAAGTGGAGACAGAAACCAATGGAGACTGGAACCTGCAAAAAGATGGCGATTAGGGGAGCCAGCTCTGGTGGCCTAAATTACTAGGACAAACCTGCCTGCTGAAACTACAGGTTCTAGGTTAAAAATATATATTTTTAAATCTTGCATCAAATAGCTCACAAGACTTTAAGGAGTTACTGTAAAGCCAAAACTGAAGTGAAAATCAAGGTTAATTTAACAGAGAGGTCAAATGAACAGAGAAGGCCCCTTCCGCCCTGCAGGCATTTACCAATCCCATTTACCAATCCCTGAATGAAAAATTAACCTTTCATTCAGACCTTGAACTAGATTAAAAATGATCTTTCACTGGTAGTACCCCCAGACAGCTGACAAAAGCAAACCAAATCCTCTCCTGAGGAAGGTACTTTCATTCTAGGCCTCAAAACAATTTTTCAAATACAGTGACCAGCATGCAAAGATAACCAGGCAGACAGGAACCACGGAGGAGAGCTAGGTAATAAGGCCCTCAAGGTCTTCAAATAATGGGATTCTTTGACACAAACCATGTCAAAGTGAAGCTTACTGCCACAGTGGGGCAGACCGTGTTTCCCAAAATGGCCACATCCATCTCTCCCCTCCCACATGCTCTTCTTACTGTGTGACTGATAATCTCATCAGGGGTGAGGTCTGTGTCCACTTTCCTTGAGTCTGGGAAGGCTATGATTCATTTGTAATTGATAGAATGTGGTGGAAGTAATGCAACGCGACTTGCAAGCGTAAGTCAGAAAAGGTGAGGCAGCTTCTGCTTTGCTGAAACACTCCTGCCGGAGGCTGGAGGCACATGAGTCTTGGCTGCCCTGAAGGCGCCGTGCTGTAAGCCCAAACCAGCCCACATGGGGAGACTCCTGCAGAAGCCCTGAGACTACATTAAGAGAGAGTTTAGTCAACCAGACCCCAGCTGCTTCAGACCCTGACTGTTCCAGCTCTAGCCACTGGCTGACCGCAACCTCATGAAAGACCCTGAGGCAGAACCAGCCAAGTCCTTCCCAAGTTCCCAACCCATGGAAACCATGAGCCATGATAATGATTGTTGTTGTTTTAAGCTACTAAGCTTTGGGGTGATTTCTTATGTGGCAATAGCAACTGGAAAACCATGTTTAGCAGATAAAAGACAAGCTTGACAATACGCACAAGGAATAAGAAATTATAAAAAATGACATTAATTGGAAAAGAGAGAGAGAGAGAGAGACCGGGCAAACAGAGGCACAGAGATGCATCGGCTTTGGAAAGACATGGACTGATAGAGAACAGGGGGGTCAGAAATCAGAGGGAAGACAAACAGACACAAAGGGAACAAAGATGAGAGATGAATCTGGAGAGAAAAAGGTAAAGAAGCCAGGGGGGATGGAGAACAGGAAAAACCACACCTGGAAACCCAGGAAGGCCAAACGCAGTTGCGAAGTGAGACTCCCGGCCAGCAGCTGGCAGCTGGAGTTGGCCAGCAGCCTGCCGGATGTTGGCCACAGCTGGATTCACCTCCAGCCCCCTCCCCCAGCTCCCACTAAGGAGCCTACCTTAGTGGTCCTGCTCCTACCTCAAGGTCGGGGAGCCCTGGCTCCCCCAGTACAGCACTCACGGAAGGAAGAGATGGTGGCAGGAACTGCCAATCCCTCAGTGATTCTGCAAAGGCTGTCTCTTGAAAGGGAGGCCCTGGCTCAGGCTCGCCAGGCTTCTGGACAGGGGGCTCACCGCCTACACCCACCAGCAGAGGCTGTTGGAGATCTGGAAGACTGGGGTTGTCCATGGCTCGGGAGAGGCTCCCAGAGGGGCTTCCTGGGAGTAGGGGAAAGAAAAAGACAAGTTGTAAAAGTCTCACTTTTATCCTTCCCCTGACTCCTGGCTTTGGAGAGACTCCAGGCAGAGACTAGGTAGCTGAACCATCCTCAGACCCATTTTACTGATAGTAAAACCGAGGCTCAGAGAGTAACAGAGGTTGGTCCAAGTTGTGAAGAGAACTCAGGACTCTGGACATTCAGTTCCAGGGCTTCTCTCTCCTCAGGCAAAAACCACACACCTGTTGCACATTTATTCCAAACCATGCCTTACACACTTACTTGGCCCATGAACTACACACCCATCCTGGGTTGACACTCTCATCCCTCTCCCCCACACCCATCCCCAATGATGCTTAGTTCACACACTGCCTGTGCCCCCAAGCCTGCACACTCTCAATACCTGCCACACATACCCATCCGGGCAAGCCCAATCCCCACCTCCACCTGTGCACATTCACATCCCAAGGGACTGTTTGCATACTTGCCCCAAACAACACGAGCTCCCAAAGGTCTTACTCACTCACCCCAAATAACTCCTTGCACATTCATACTAATCCCCCCAGCATCAGATTCTCCCCAGATGCACATATATGTACAGGCTTCCCACACATGCAGCCTGGACACTCTCCCCCGTCCCCATCACTTCCCTTGCACATCTGCCCAAACACCCAGGGCCACACACCCCTCTCTTTCTCCACCCACATCCATGGCCCACACTCACCCGCTCTGCTACAACCTCCTGTTTTACCAGAATCCACCTTTGCACACTTCCCCCATAACACCACCAACCCACCACACAACTCAACCACGGAGACTATTCTCGCCCTCACAATCCCCCTGCGGGGGTCCCCAAGTCTCCCGCCCTCAGTCCAAACCTGGCTTGAGCCGATTTCCTGGCCAAGGTTTTGCCTCCCTGTCCCCAGCGCCAGGACCCGGGAGAAGAGCGGTGCCCTCCCCCAGCTGCGCCTCTCACAGCCCACGGCTATAGGCCGGGACCTCCTGGGCTCTCCGCACCGACACCCTCCCCGATCCTGCCGCTCAGGGTGGGGGAACTCAGTAAGCCCCGCGCTCCTAGGGGTCTGGGCCTCGGGGTACGGGGTCTGAGAGCTCCGCTGCGCGCCCCTCTCAGCGCCCCGGGCCCGCGGCGCGCAGGGGCGGGGCGGTGGGCTCCCGGGCTCCGCCCTCAGAGGAGGCCGCGGTGGGCGGTGGGGGTGGGGGGGGAAATGGGGCCTTGAAGGCCGACGTCAGCGCCCGGCGCTGGCCCTTGCCATCCCGGGTGCGGAGGAGCAGGCGGAGGTCTCCGAGGTCAGCGGGCCCTGACATCCCGAACCCAGACCCAAACGCTGCAGGACGGAGGACGGGGCGCCCCGATTCTCCAGAGCCTTCCTGGCTTGGCCCTGCTTCCACCCCACTGCCCTCCCCCGTCCCCAACAGTAAAAACAGCAACCCCGGCTAACTGTGGGCACGGTTCTTAGTGCTTTACATGTACACGTACACGTTTCTTCCCGAGAACGACCTAAGAGGCACTGTCATTGATTGTCTTGTCGTGCCAGGACGAAACGGGCGCAGGGAGTTAGAACTTGCCTAAAAGCGTGCCGCCGGGTCACTGAGTGCAGACTACGCCCGGCGCGGGGGTTAGATACCCTAAGTTCATCAACGCACGGACTCCTCTCAGTAGCTCTATTTCTATCCCTATTAGGCAGTTAAGGAAACTGAGGCTCAGAGATGTGTGCTCACTTGGCCAAGGTAAACAACTGGTACTAGGACCGACCCGCAGATTGTAACCCAGGGCTGTATTTCTTGCCGGCCCAAGTGGAGGGGAGAAAGCAGCGGCAGAAGGTGCGGCGGGGGCTTCCAGGGAAAGGGGCGGTGCTGGGAGTGGGCCAGGGATGGCGTGCTGCTTAGCAGGTGGTACAGGTGGTGGTTATGAGTTAGTGTTTGGACCCACACAGACCTGAGTTCCTTTACAGGCTCTTCAAAGCACTCGCTGTGTGACCTCTGGAAAATGGCATCACCTCTCTGAACCCCAATTTCTTCATCTGTGAAATAGCGTAAATACCCCCTGCCTCTTAGCTGTGATAACATATATAAAGCACTTAGATTAGGTGCCATAACAGATGTCCAACATTTGCCCCAAACTAGGCACTCTGAACGTGTTTGATGGTGTTTAGGAATATAATTGTTTACATCCGTCTTCATCAGTCTAATTAAGGAACTCTTCTCGCCCAGCAGTCCTCCACCTCCTTCAGGGAGGCCACCCAGCTTGCAGTGGCTTCTCTTTCTCGGAAGCCCTCCATCTCACCAGTCCCAGACAGCCAAACTGGAGGATTCCCTTCCTGATGTGGGGCAGGCCAGCGTTCCCTCGCTCCAGCGCTCTGGGGCTCCGTGCCAAGAGTCCAGACGCTGAAGCTGGTACAGGCCCCACTCCTGGGGAGAACAGACGGTGTCTGGAAGTGACCTTGGCTCAGCCAGAGTTTCTGGCAGACAACAGGCAGGGAGACCCACAGGAGCATAGATGAGAAGGAGAGGGGGCAGAACTGTTTAATGGGGAGAGACACACTTGTTACTCTGTATCTCCTTAACCTCGCTCTTATCACTATGAAACATATTACATATTTCTGCTGGTTTGAATCCTCCCACCAGTGCCAGCTCCAGCTTGGCTGGGATTTGATCCCTTTTGTTTACTGCTGTGCCTCAGGGCCTAGAACAGTGCCTGGCCCCAAGCAGGACTTTGATACATATTTGTAGGGTGAGGGCATGAATTCTCACCAGCCTCAGTTTTTTACCAAATCCCTGAGCAATGTGGGTCCCTTCGACCCCCTAGGCCACCGTAGAGATTTATTCACTTCCAACAGATCTCTCTGACCACCATCAGCCTCGTACAGTCTCCCCACCCCTTCCAGGATGTCACTAGAGGCCCAGGCCTCTTGGGGTTTGTGATGGTCCTGGAATATTAAACACAAAATTCCAGCCAGGATCATCAACAGAAGCCTAAACCACTGAGTGAAAGTTTGATGAGAAACAGGATATTTATTTAGTCTCAAAGTATATCCTCCCACAGATTAATTATTAATTACAAAGGAAAAAAAATAGTATTAACGGACAACACCTAAAACCAGGTGATAGAAGTTAACATCACCAGTATCGGGACAAATGAACATCGTGTGCCTCCTGATATGCACCGAAAAGGACACAACACCATTTCTGTGATGTTTTTCTGCCAAAAATGCATCATCCGAATTGAATCATGAGAAAACATGGGTCAAAGCCCAACTGAGGGACACTCTATAAAGTACTTGGTCTGTACACTTTAAAAATGTCAGTGTCATGAAAACCAAAACAATAACAAAAATTTAAAAGCTGGCAGCCAGTTCTAGATTAAAGGTGACTAAAGAAACATGACAGGGCTGCCCTGGCGGCGCAGTGGTTGAGAGTCGGCCTGCCGATGCAGGGGACGCGGGTTCGTGCCCCGGTCCGGGAAGATCTCGCATGCCGCGGAGCGGCTGGGCCCGTGAGCCATGGCCGCTGAGCCTGCGCGTCCGGAACCTGTGCTCCGCAACGGGAGAGGCCCGCGTACCGCAAAAAAAAAAAAAAAAAAGAAAGAAACATGACAACTAAACAAAGTGTGATCCCGGATGGAAAGCAGATGGTGATAAGGTATGTTATTGGGACAATGGGAGAAATTTGAACATAAACTATAAATTAGATGATAATTTTCTATCAATCTTAAACTGATACTTGGGGAAACGTTAAATTGGTATTATGGTTATATAGGAGAATCCCCTTGTTCTTAGGAGAATTTTACTAATATAATATTATGAATTATATTTACGAATATAATATATGTGTGTGTGTGTGTATGTATGCAGAAAAGCAAGCAAAAGAATTGAACAAAATTTCACAGAAAGAGGAAATCCAAGGGAGAGAGGAACATTTAAAAATTTACTCAACTAATCATTAGGGAAATGCAAATTAAAATCCCAGTGCGATACCAGTATACACCCACCAGAATGGCTAAATGAAAGAAGACACCACCAGGAAGTGTTGGTGAGGATATAGAGTGGGGAAACTCTCATACACTGCTGGTGGGCATCCAAATTGTTCCAACCACTAGGCAAACTGTTGGGCAGTTTCTACTATAGCTGAACGTATCCTATGACCCAGCAATTGCAGTCTAATCAGATATGAACATATGTCCACCAAAAAACAAATTCCCATCAACAGATGGATAAAGTGTAGCATCTTCACACAGAGGAAACTATATAGCAATGAGAATGAAAGAGCTACAGCCACATGCAATAGCATGGGATGAATTTCACAAACAAAACACTGAGCAGGGATTCCCTGGTGGCGCACTGGTTGAGAGTCCGCCTGCCGATGCAGGGGACACAGGTTCGTGCCCCGGTCCGGGAAGATCTCGCATGCCGCGGAGCGGCTGGGCCCGTGAGCCATGGCCGCTGAGCCTACGCGTCCGGAGCCTGTGCTCCGCAACGGGAGAGGCCACAACAGTGAGAGGCCCGCGTACCGCAAAAAAAAAAAAAAAAAAAAAAAAAGCACCGAGCAAAAGACAGCAGACACAAAACAATGCATATTGCGAGATTTCATTTACATAAAGTACGAAAACAGGCAAAATTAATCCATATTGTTAGAAGTCCAGTTAGTGGTTTCCTTTGGGGGCATCCTGGAACAGGCATGAAGGGCATCCTGGAGGGACTGGTCATGTTGTTTTCATGAACTGAGTTCTGGTTACCAGGTGTGTTCAGTTTATGAAATTTAATTCAGCTGTTCACTTATGATTTGTGCACTTTTCTGTACACTTCAAAACATTTATTTTTGAAAAAGAGCGAGTTAGATCTAAAGATATGGATAACTTTCCAAGATGTATCACTGAGTGAAAAATGCAAGATGTGGGAATTCCCTGGTGGTCCAGTGGTTAGGACTCAGCGCTTTCACTGCCGAGGGCCTGGGTTCAATCCCTGTCAGGCAACTAAGATCCCACAAGCTGTGCAGCGCCACCAAAAAAAAAAAAGCAAGATGTAAAAGAATATGAACAGTCACTCTGTTAACCAGTACAGCACTTCCTCAAAAAATTAAAAATAGAATTATCATATGACTCAGCAATTCCACTTCTGGGTGTATACCCAAAAGAACTGAAATCAGGGTCTTTTTTTAAAAAAATAAATTTAATAAAATTTTAAAATAAATTTATTTATTTTTGGCTGTGTTGGGTCTTCGTTGCTGTGTGTGGGCTTTCTCTAGTTGTGGTGAAGGGGGTGTTACTCTTCATTGCAGTGTGCGTGCTTCTCACTGTGGTGGCTTCTCTTGTTGCAGAGATGGGCTCTAGGCGCGCAGGCTTCAGTAGTTGTGGCATGCAGGTTCAGTAGTTGTGGCACGCGGGCTTCAGTAGTTGTGGCATGCGGGCTCTAGAATGCAGGCTCAGTAGTTGTGGTGCATGGGCTTAGTTACTCTGCGGCATGTGGGATCTTCCCAGACCAGGGATCAAACCCATGTACCCTGCATTGGCAGGGCGATTCTTAACCACTGTGCCACCAGGGAAGTCCTGAAAGCATGGTCTTGAAGAGACATGTGTACACCCGTGTTCATAGCAGCGTTATTCACAATAGCCAAAAGGTGGAAGCAACCCAACTGTACATCGACAGATGAATGGATAAAGCAAATGGGGCGTATATATAAAATGGGATATTATTTAGCCTTAAAAAGGAAGGAAATTCTTTGATGACCATTTTGTAGTGTATAGAAATACTGAATCATTATGCTGTGCACCTGGAACTAACATGGTGTTGTAGGTCAATCATACTTCAAAATAAATAAATAATTGTCATATACTTAAAAACAACCAAAAAGGAAATTCTGACATGCACTACAGCATGGATGATCCTTGAGGACATTATGCTAAATTATTCTAAACGAAATAAGCCGGTAATAAAAGGACAAATAATGATTCTACTCAGATGGGGCACCTAGAGTAGTCAAATTCATAGAAATAGAAAGTAAATAGGTGGTTTCCAGGGGCTAGAGGAAGGGAGGGATGGGGAGTTTTTGTTTAATGGGTACAGAGTTTCAGTTTTGCAAGATGAAAGGAGTTCTAGAGATTGGTTGCACAATTATGTGAACGTACTTAATGCCACTGAATTGTACATGTAAAGATGGTGAAAATGGTAAATTTTATGTTATGTGTATTTTATCACAATTTTAAAAACTTTAAGAATAAAAAGTACAGGGACTTCCCTGGTGGCGCAGTGGTTAAGAATCCGCCTGCCAATGCAGGGGACATGGTTTCCAGCCCTGGTCTGGGAAGATGCCACATGCCGCGGAACAACTAATCCTGTGCGCCACAACTACTGAGCCTGTGCTCTAGAGCCTGTGAGCCACAACTACTGAAGCCCGCGCGTCTAGAGCCCGTGCTCGGCAACAAGAGAAGCCACCACAATGAGAGGCCCGCGCACTGCAACTAAGAGTAGCCCCCGCTCACCGCAACTAGAGAATGCCCGCGCGCAGCAACGAAGACCCAACACAGCCAAAAATAAATAATTAAGATCAATAAATTTTTAAAAAAAGAATAAAAAGTACATATTCAGTGTGCTTCTCGTAAAAAAAATGTAAAATATGCCATTTCAGTAACAACATAAAAAATAAAAACCATCAATAATAACAAACATTTATAGTGCCTCTTATGTGCCAAGCCCTGCTCTAATTTCATTAGGCATTTGTATTCGTTATTATTTCTGCATAACAAATTATCCCCCAAAACTTAGTGGCTTAAAACAACAAACAGGGACTTCCCGGGTGGCGCAGTGGTTAAGAATCCTCCTACCAATGCAGGGGACAGGGGTTCGATCCCTGGTCCAGGGAGATCCCACATGCCGCGGAGTGACTAAGCCTGTGTGCCACAACTACTGAGCCTGCGCTCTAGGCCTGTGCTGTAGAGCCCGCGAGCCACAGCTACTGAAGCCTGCACGCCCTAGAGCCTGTGCTCCGCAACAGGAGAAGCCACCCCTCGCCGCAACTAGAGAAAGCCCGCGCGCAGCAAAGAAGACCCAACACAGCCTAAATAAATAAATAAATAAATAAACAAACATTTACCATCAGACAGTTTCTGTTGGTTAGGAATCTGTTGATGGCTTACCTGGCTGGTTCTCGCTTAGGGTGTCGTGAAGCTACAGTCAGCATGTTGGCCAGGTGCAACAGTCACTGGAAGATTTGATGTGGCTGAAAGATGTCCTTCCAAGATGGGTCACTCACATGGTGCTGGTTTGTTGGCACGGGGCCTCGGTTGTTCTCCATTTGGGTCTCTCCGCTGGCTGCTTCACTGCTGTCACAAATGGTGGCTGGTCTCTCTCAAAGTGAGCCATTCAATAGAGAGGTGGATGAAGAAGCCTCAATGCCTTTTATGGCTTAGTCTAAGAAGTCACACAGCAACACTTCTACCATATTCTGCTGGTTAGAAGCAAGTTACAAAGTGCAGCCTATACTCAAGAGGAGGGAAATTAGGCTCCACCTAGTGAAAGAAGGAGTGTCAAAGAATCTGTGGACATATTTTAAAACAGCTTCATACATTCATTAAATCCTGACAATAATCTAACAAGGTGGGTACCATCACTCATTCTCACGTTACAGATGAGGAAACTAAGGTACAGAGAGGCTAAAGGTCACACAGAAGAGCTAGAGCTAAGACTTAAATCCAGGTAGTTGAACTGGGAAGCATTTTCTTAATCACTAATGTCAACCAGTGGGAAAGAAACCAACTGAAGAAAAAAATATTTAAGAAGGAGCATTGTGTGAGACTTTTGTTTGTTTTTTGGCCATGCCACGTGGTATGCAGGATCTTAGTTCCCCAACCAGGGATCAAACTCCATGCCCGCTGAAGTGGAAGCGCGGAGTCTTATCCACTAGACCACCAGGGAAGTCCCATGTACGGGACTTTGATGACTGGTTGGACGTGGTAAGTGATGGAGTTGAGGATGACACCCATAACCTCCATATTCCTTTGATACTGGGAGATGTGTATCCAAGGGAGGCAGGAAGTTAAGAACATAAGGTGTGGGGACGGAGTGAGACAGAGCTATAATCAATTTGGGTTTTTTAAAAATAAATTTATTTTTTATTTATTTTAATTTTGGCTGCGTTGGGTCTTCGTTGCTGCGCGTGGGCTTTCTCTAATTGCGGCGAGCGGGGGCTACTCTTCGTTGTGGCGTGCCGGCTTCTCATCGCCGGTGGCTTCTCTTGCTGCCGAGCTCAGGCTCTAGGCACGTGCGGGCTTCAGTAGTTGTGGCTCAAGGGCTCTAGAGCGCAGGCTCAGTAGTTGTGGTGCAGGAGCTTAGCTGCTCCGCGGCATGTGGGATATTCCTGGACCAGGGCTTGAACCCGTGTCCCCTGCAGGGGGATTCTTAACCACTGCGCCACCAGGGAAGCCCATCAATTTGGTTTAAGGCAAACGATTTTGCCCTAATTTCTTCATCTTAATAAGGCTGATAATTACCCACCCTGTGGGATATTTGTGAGGATTAAAGGAGATCATGGATGCAAAACAATCAGTTTACAGCTGCTGGCACGGAGAAATCACTCGATAAATGGTAGCTTTCAAATATATCTATTAGTGAAATATTATTGAATTGTATACCTATTGAATTATTTTATCTATATAAATACCATCCTACTGAAACGTTGCCCTCTCCCTATAATTTTCAGCTGATGACTCTAACTTTTGCAGTCCCCATTTTGCAAAAAGTAGAGGAATAAGTTCCTTTTGGACTCCCGGTCTGGGCTGGAGGAATAAGGCACGAACTACGGTGGGGAAGGCACCGGCTCAGAAAATCACAACGTGTGAGTGCCTCTGACTCAGTCATTCCCCTTGTGTCCATTACATGGATGCGATAACTGAGACCTAGAGCTGTGCAAGGTCACAAGTTACTGACAGAGTCCAGTCTTCAAAAACAGGATTTTTTGCAGATAAAGAGGTCTCAGTTCCTCATTTCTCATACCCCTTCCCCCAACCCACCCCCTGCTTGCTCAGAATCAGCACTAACAGTGAAGGAAGTTGAATTTATCAGTTCTTGAGGAGCTTGGAGGAATTCTAAAAAGGAACCCCCTCCCCAACTTCTCTGAATGAGGGTTTTTTTTTTCCAGTTATGAGGCAGGGGGATGCACACAAGGACGTGAGGGAAATTTCCCCCCTGGCTCTGGCTCAAGTCTCTGACTTGTGGCCCCGATTGAGAGAGAGTTTTAAGGGGCACGGAACATCGATGGATTTGCTTATTCTGTTATGAGAGTATCTGGGACAAACAGTTGGTGCACAAACTTCCTCAGCCACGCTCAAGACGGCCACATAAGCCCACGCCGCAAATGGCTGAACCGTGGTTCGCGGTTGGAGAGACGCCTTTCCCAAAATGGAGAGGGGGGAGAGAAAGTGTCCATCACAGGTTAGCCCCGCCCCCACAGATTGCTAGGGCCAATTAGCGACCCGCAGGGCGGGGACAAGGCCAGGGGAGGAGGCTGCCGTTGCCCCAGCAACAACCAGGGAGCCGGGAGGCGGGCGCGGCTTCGGAGGGATTGGAGTCTCAGCAATCTTGCTGCCGGGAAGGTCCTGCGAGAGGCGCGAGCTAGGCCTGGTAAGTCAGCACCTGCGGAGAGAGGGACAGGTCAGGTCCATGAACTCCAATCCCCGCTTTCGCCTCTCCTAACCGTTAGACGCTCAGAGGTAGGAATAACGCATGCGCGGGCTCAGAGGTGGAGCTAAGGTGCCCTGCACTTAGAACGCATGCGCCTCATGGCGGTGGGGGGGCGGAAATCTGACCCGAGGAGGCGGTGCTTTGTGTTGTGGGCGGAGCCATGTGCCCCTGGGGCGGGACTTTCTGCTGCAATGAGCGGGATGAAAAGGTTACTTTAGAGGCAGGCAGAGTTAGATGCCAGCTCCTTGGAGCGTCCGTTTCTCGCCCCTCATTTTTCTGCGGCTCTCCTGGAGAGGCAGTTAGTATCATGGTTAAGACCGCAGCCTCAGTGGTTTGACGAAACTAGCTTGGAATCCCAAGTACTGCTCCTTACTTGGTGGGCCTCAGTTTTCCCATCTATTAGGTGGAGATAATTGTACACTTTTCTCATAAGGCTGTGATTATATTTTCCCCAGGGCCATGGCTGAGGTGCACGTGATTGGGCAGATCATGGGGGCCACCGGTTTCTCGGAAAGTAGCCTCTTCTGCAAGTGGGGCATCCACACAGGTATTCCCGGGCATGGTTCATTTCCCCACCAAGACCCCGCAGCCTAGACGCCTCCACCTACTTTCCTTGATCCCCTGACCTCAGTCCCTGATCCTCAGCTTCCACGGGCTCTCAGGACTCCTAACCCTGACCACGCTTTGTTCATGTGAGTCTCAGGCTCCCTTCTTATTATCCCTTCCCATCCCATCTCTGGGGACTCAGACTCCCACTCTCTCAACACACATTCCCTAAGGATATGAGACTATAGGCTGGACCCACCCAGCTACCCCAGCACACACTCCCTGTCCTCAAAACACTTGACAGCGGTAACGACACTGCTTGGACTTCATTCACTGTCTTAGGGCTGCTCTGGTGCCTCCCCCATCTTTGCTTAACCATCTCCATTTATTGAGCTCTTAATGTAAAATGGAAGTTTCCATCTTGAAATGAAGAGGAGAGGCCACCCTCCTGTATTCATATTTCTCTGTGAGAATGTAGGAACCCTGTTCTGACAGTTATCCAAGTCCATCCACACAGGCCCAGGAGGGACCTTGGAGGTCTCAATTTTCATGCCTCTCCATCAGAGGCAGTATAGTGTGGTGGGTGGTGTGATGGCTAGGGCCACAGGCCACCAGGTGGCCACCAGGTCTGGGCTCAAATACGAACTCCCTTGCCTATTGATTGGAAGCCTTTGGACTTGACCTCTCTGAGCCTCAGTTTCCTTGTCTGAAAATGAAGCTAATGGCAGCCGAGGCAGCAGAGTGCTGAGGTTAAGAGCACAGACTGCCTGGGTTTCAAAACCAGCTCTTGCTTATTAATTATGTGACCCTGGCCACTTGTCTTTGCCTCGATTTCCCTGTCTATGAAATGGGAATAATAACACTACCTCATGGGGTTGCTGTGAGGACTAAATGAGTATCAGTAGCACTTAGAAGAGGGCCTAGACTTGTAAGTCCTCAGTAAGTGTTTGCCTGGCTTGTGTAAAAATTGGATGGGCTCTTGTTCCTAAAGCCCTAGGTATGTTGCCTAGCACAGGTAAATGCCCAAGAAATGAGTGTGGCCATTGCCATCATCATCTTTTCAGGCCTGGGGTTCTTTGCGATTTCACTGGTGGGTAGGTTGGTGGTTGAGATTCCCTGGGAAATTGGGATCCTCCAGCTGAGCAAATAAGAAGCAAGGCCTGGAATCAGACTTGGTTTCCAGTACCCTCCTCCACTCACTTGCTCTGTGACCCTGGCAAGTGCTGTTCCCTCTCGCAGCCTCAGTTTTCTTATCTGTAAAGTGTGACTATTTGTCCTTCATAGGGGTGTTAGGAAGTCTTGTATGTGAGGATCCTGACTGAAGGCTTGGTGCTTTCCTCACCTGGCCCGCAAGGGAGCAGTAACCAACATGATTTTTATTATTTCAGGGGGCTCTTGGTCAGGGAGAAGCGGGGTAGGGGGCAGTTAATCCAATAGAGAGCCAAGGCGCGGTCAGATAAAGGGCTTGGTCTCTGCCGTCAGTCAGAGCTCCATTTGAGGGATTTCCCTGGCGGTCCAGTGGTTAAGACTCCGAGCTTCCCCTGCAGGGGACACGTGTTCAAGCCCTGGTCGGGGAACTAAGATCTCACATGTGGTGTGGCACAGCCAAAAAAAAAAAAAAAAAAAAAAAAAAAAAAAACGAAAACCTAAAAACGAAAGCAGAGCTCCATTTGAATCAGCTCCACCATGGGACCTTGGTCTGCTGCGGTCCTGCTATAGCCCCAGCATGGAGAACAGTGCTTGGCACAGAGTAGGTGTTCAGTAAAGGTTTGTGGAATGAAAGGTAAAGGTTTCTTTACCTGCAAAATGGGGATTGTATTAGCCCCCACCTCCTAGGATCATTTATTTGTCCAAAACAAACATTTATTGAACACCTTCTGTGTACCAAGATCTGGGCTTGAGGTTCTAGGGATCCAGTAGTTTACAACATCCCTGCTCTCTTGGGGCTTACAGCAGAGGAGACAGAAAAGAAATAAGCAGGTAAAGACGTGAGTGCAATGATTACAGGTAGTGTACTAGGTACTAGGAAGAAATGAGATGAGAGATGATGTGAGAGGGACTGGTTAGTTTTGGGATAGGAGGGTGAGGGAGAACCCCTCTGTGAAAGTGGCACTTGAGCTGATCCCTGAAGGATGAAAAAAAGCCAGGCATAGGGACATCCAGGAGCAGAGTTTTCTGGGCAGAGGGAACAGCCAGTGCAAAGGCCCTGAGGAGGGGAAAGAAATAGGACCATTGAGGCTAGAGGGTGGTGAGGAATGGGGAAAGTGATGGGAGATGAGCTCAGGAAGGGGTTGTGGGGGGGGCACAGGCCAGGCCATGTAAGGCCTTGTAGACTCTCCTCCTGTGGAGGAGAGTCTGTAAACTGGGGGTGGGGTGGGGATTAAGAGTCCCAGAGGGTAGATTAAATGAATTCATTACTAAAGCGCTTAGCGCAGCGTCTGGCATTTAGTAAGCAGTCGGTGCATTTTTGCTATTATTATCACCCTCAGTAGGATTGCTGTTACGACACACCGTTCACGATTTGCTCTGTGCTTCTGCACGTGAAGGACCGCCTCAGCTCCATCTTAGTCCTTGGACTAGGCCTCTAAACGTGGGGTGAGAATAGTAGTAAAATGATCCCCAGCACTCATCCGGCACTCACTATGCCCCAGACACTGTTCTCAGTGCCTCCTGTGTATTAACTCATTTAATCTTCTCACAAGCCTGGGAGGAATGCATTATTATTACACCCACCTTACAGATGGGAAGACGGAGGCAGAGAAAGGTAACTGGCCCAAGGTTGCATGGGCAGGAAGAAATAGTGCCAGGATTTGTACCCAGACATTTGGCTCCAGGGTCCATGCTTTGCAACCCTCCACTCCCCAATGCCAGGGAGAAATGGGGTCCTATAGCCACAGTGGGATCCCCTTCCTGATGGCTGCCTCCCACCCCGCCCTGCCTCACCCGTGTCCTGGCTCTCACTGCAGGGGCAGCATGGAAGCTCCTGTCAGGCGTGCGGGAGGGCCAAACACAGGTGGACACCCCCCAGATAGGGGACATGGCCTACTGGTCCCATCCCATCGACCTGCACTTTGCCACCAAAGGCCTACAAGGTGAGTTCCCGGCCTGGGCCCCAGGCTAGACTAAGGGGAGGTGGGTTAGAGGCACTCAGTGCTGCGGGGACTGGAAACATCAAGTGCTGTTCCTGCCCCCATGCCCTTTGGGTCCCTTTCCTGACCAGGCTTGGCCCTGGAGAGGGTGAGCTGAGGCCTCCCGAGGCCGGCTCTAGAGTGCATTAGGAGTGGGGCAGAGGCAGGGGTGGACGGGGCAAGGTCAAGGGGAGAGCCAGGGGGAGAGGGAGGTGGCTTTCACAGAGACAAAGCAAGAGAGTCTTCAATCAGCAGGAAGCTGGGAGGGGTTATGAGAGAGAGAGGTGAGGGCTGGTGGCTATTATGCAGGTAGGGCTCCTCAGCTGCTCAGAAGGGAGATGAATACGTGGGGGAGGAGGGGTATCAGAAAACCTCTTCTGGCAGAACATTTGGGTCATTAAAGAGGGGGTGGGGCTTCCCTGGTGGCGCAGTGGTTGAGAGTCCGCCTGCCAATGCAGGGGACACGGGTTCGTGCCCTGGTCCGGGAAGATCCCACATGCCGCGGAGCGGCTGGGCCCGTGAGCCGTGGCCGCTGAGGCTGCGTGTCCGGAGCCTGTGCTCCGCAACGGGAGAGGCCACAACAGTGAGAGACCCGCGTACCGCAAAAAAAAAAAAAAAAAAAAAAAAAGAGGGGTGGATTCCAGGAAATAGCCTAGGTAAATATGCCATATATTTCTACCATATAAATAATAGTTACTGAGTGCCTGCCCTGTGTCAGGTGATGCCAGGGAGATATCAGTGATTGAGACAGCTCCCCAGCCCTGTCCGCACACAGTTCATCATCCCTTGGGAGAGACAGAGCTGCCCTCAGACAGTGGTAACCCAGAGTGGGCAGGACTGGGATGGGGGATCTTGAAGGGCTATGGGAGGCCAGCGGAGGTGCCTGACCCTGCTGGGGGGTTCAGGGAGGGCTTCCTGGAGGAGGGGGATGTTTGAGCTTTGCTGTGAAAGGACAGTAGGAGCTATTAAAACAGAAAGGTGAAAGAGGGTTCTGGGCAGAAAACCATGTGTGGAAGCCTCAAGGGGGAAAGTGAGCCAGGGGCGTTTGGAGGACCCGCGGAGAGCAGGAGGACTGCGGGGGGTGAGGTGGCAGGGGACAGGGGACAGGGGACAGGCCATTGCAAGGCCTTGAATGCCAGGCCGCAGAGTGGAGGCCATATCCTGAAGGCACTGGGGAGCCAGAGCAGGCGATTGACAAGTCAGGTTTTGCTTTTAAGAGATCCCTCTGGCTGCCTGTGGGTGATGGATTGGAAAGTGAGGCAGGCAACAGTCCTTTCAGCTCTTAAGGATCCCGAGTCTCTGAATGTGGGCATCATCCTTGCCTCCTCTTTTCTCCTACCCGCCCCAATTTTGTCCATCAGGAAATCCCATTAGCCCCACCGTTGAAATGAATCCTAAATCCCACCACTCCCCCTACCCTCTTCCCAGCACCCCGATCTGTCCACCCTCACCTCTCACTGGGCTATTACAGTAGCCTCTTTACTGGTATTCCCACCTCAGCCCCGTAAGTCTGTCCCCCTGTGAACACCTAAGTTAGGTAACATTCCTCCTATGCTCAGAACCCTCTGTGGTCCCCATCTCAGGGTAAAAGGCAAAACCTTACCATGGATCACAAGGCCCTGCTCAATCTGATTCTGTCACCTCCTCCCCCTCTCCGCCATCTCACTCTGCTCCAGCCACATCAGCCCCACCAGGCAGCTCCTACCTCAGGGCTTTTGCACTAGCTATTCCCTCTGCTGGGAGTGTTCTTCCCTAGATATCCACATAGCCCCCACTCCCTCTCCTCCTTTAAGCATTCACCCAGATGTCACCTTCTCAGGAAAGTTTTGCTTGATCACCCCCTTTCTAAAACTGCATGCCAGGACTTCCCTGGTGGCCCAGTGGTTAAGACTCCACGCTCCCACTGCAGGGGGCCCGGGTTTGATCCCTGGTCAGGGAACTAGATCCCACATGCATGCCGCAACTAAGAGTTCGCATGCCACAACTAAGGAGCCTGCCTGCTGCAACTAAGACCCAGTGCAACCAAATAAATAAATATTAAAAAAACAAAAACAAAAACTGCATGCCTACCCCCACCGTACCCAGCTTGTTTTTCTTCAGAGCAGTTATCACCATCTGACGTACCCTATAATTTGTGTATTTACTGTGTTCGTTGTTTAAGACGTCAGCTGCACAAGGGCAGGAATTTTTGTCTGCTCTGTTCACTGCTGTGTCTCCAGCTTCTAGAACAGGGCCTAGCACGGAGGGACTCAGAAAGGAGGGTGAAATGGAGCTGGGTCTCCAAGGGCTTTGCCTACAGGCTGAGGAGCTGAATTATATTCTGAGTGAGGACACTGGGAAACCTATGGAAGGGAGAGAAAGATGCTTCCAGCTGCCAGGTGAAAGTTGGATTGGAGGGAGCAGGAAAGAAGGCCCTGAGGCCAGAAAAGAGGACAGGGTGTGGCCACGGGGAGGGAAGGAGGGAGGCATCGAGGACAAGGCCCAACATACTCACCTGGGGACTGGGCTCCTCTGAGACGGGGACACAGAGGAAGAGGCCACGGAGAGGGAAGTCAACAGATGCTAGACCTAAAGGGCCTTGAATGTTCAGGTCGGACTTTATACTGAGTGTACTGGGGAATCATTGAAGGGTTTTGAGCAGGGGAGGAATACGGATTCAGAAGGATCCCTTTGGCTGCTCTGTGGGGGTAGGAGTCCAGAGAGGAGGCTGGGGCAGAAACCTGGCGGGGAAGGACGGGCCTGGGATTTTCAGGAGCTCCTGCTGGGCTGTACCCATCCCACTTTGCATCCCTCCCTCCTATGCTGCAGGTTGGCCCCGACTCCATCTCCAGGTATGGTCCCAGGACAGCTTCGGCCGCTGCCAGCTTGCAGGCTACGGCTTTTGCCATGTGCCCAGCAGTCCAGGCACCCACCAGCTGGACTGCCCCACATGGCGGCCCCTAGGCAGCTGGCGGGAGCAGCTGGCAAGGGCCTTCGTGGGTGGCGGGCCTCAGCTGCTGCATGGAGATGCCATCTACAGTGGGGCTGACCGCTATCGCCTGCACACTGCTGCCGGTGGCACCGTGCACCTTGAGCTGGGCCTGCTGCTGCGCCACTTCGATCGTTATGGCGTCGAATGCTGAAGGACCCTGTATGGACCGCTGGCCCCCAGCCATATCTCTGGACACCCGGTGAGGGGCAGGATGGCACAGGGGTCAAGCATGGGCTCTGGAGACTGTCAGACCTGACCCCAGCCAAGACTGGTGTGGCTTCTATCCTGACTAGCATCTCAAGCCCAGTGGCTGCCCCTCCCAGGTCCAGTTTCCCCATCTGTAAAATGCGGGCAGTAAATGTGTGGGCTCACAGGGGTTGGGTGCAGAGAAGCTGTTGGCACATGGAAGGGCTCAGTAAAGGAGAGCAGTTCTTTCAGATGTGAGTGCTTTTCTGACCATCTGTTGGATGTCCAGTGCCCCATCCTCTCACTGTCACCCTCCTTCCTCAGGCCCCCTTCCCCTGTCCTCTGCCTCAACCTCTGACCCCCTCCACACTCTGGGTGATGCTCTTATGGCCCCCACTCCTTGGGGGTCCCCCTTCTCTGTGCCCCTCTCCCCACTGGCTCCCTGTCTTCTGGCTGACCCTCTCCCCCACTGCCCCAGCTTCCCACTCTCCACTCGGGGTGGTCGTCCTCGGATTCCCTGTACCCTGCGTCCCCATCCTCTGATTGAGCCCTCCCCGCCGGTTCTTTATTCCCTCGGTGACCCTCGCACAGTCCTCAAAGCCACACGCAGCACAGCCGCCCGCTTTGGTAGCGCTCAGCCGCCAGGAGGCAGCACCCTGTTGGTGGGGCGGAGCCGGGTGCCCGCCCCCTCCCCCCAGGGCTTAAGGGACCCCCCTCGGAGCCCGCCCACGCGAGATGAGGACTGTGGACCGGCCCCCCCCCCATGCCCTCCCCCTGAGGGCCGCCCCCGCCCCGCGCGCTTCCTGGGTGGGGCCGGGGCGGCTTCAAAAACCCCCCGCCGCCCCAGCCGCTCGCCGCCGCCGCCGCCCTTCGCGCCCCAGGCCGTCCCACTCCCTTCCTCCCGCCGCGGATCCGCCAGACAGCGAGGCCCCCGGCCGGGGGCAGGGGGGACGCCCCCTCCGGGGCACCCCCCGGCTCGAAGCCGCCCGCGGGGCCGGCCTCAGCCGGGAACGGAGGAAGGAGCCGCCGAGGAGCAGCCCAAGGCCCCAGAGTCTGAGACGAGCCGCCGCCGCCGCCCCCGCCGCCGCCGCCGCCGCCACTGCGGGGAGGAGGGGGAGGAGGAGCGGGAGGAGGGACGAGCTGGTTGGGAGAAGAGGAAAAAAGTTTTGAGACTTTTCCGCTGCTGCTGGGAGCCAAAGGCGCGGGGACCTTCGCGCAGCGCTGCTCCGCGAGGCAGGACTGGGGGACCCCAGACCGCACCTCCGCCCTGCACCGCCTCGGACGCTTGCTCCCTTCCTTCCCCCCACACGGCGTTCCCCGGGCGCCCCCATTCCGGACCAGCCCTCAGGAGCCTCATACCCGACTCCCGCGAGGACTCGACCCCAGACATCGGTCGCACCCTCCCGCACGGCCCCCAACTCCTAGCCTCTCTCTTGAGCCCCGCGCATCCAAGGACCCTTCTCCTCCGGGATCCAGGAGACGGGATTAATCTCAGACCTGCCCCAGCTTTCCTATTCAAGACCACCCACCTTTGGTACCAGATCTCGCTCATCTCGGTTTTTGCCGTGGGATACCGAGAACACACCCATCAGAGCCGCCCCTCCAGCTCCGCTCCGTCCTCCCTGAGGGCCTCAACTCCCTCCCTCCCCAGACCCTCCTACCTTTCCTCGGGAGACCCCCCCCACCAGCCCCTGTAGGGGCGGGGCCTCCCTCTTCCCACCCCAGCCCGGCTCGCGCTCCCGGCTGTGCCGGGGGCGCCGCCTCCCCCATGCCGCCCTCGGGGCTGCGGCTGCTGCCGCTGCTGCTGCCGCTGCTGTGGCTACTAGTGCTGCCGCCTGGCCGGCCGGCCGCCGGACTGTCCACCTGCAAGACCATCGACATGGAGCTGGTGAAGCGAAAGCGCATCGAGGCCATCCGCGGCCAGATTCTGTCCAAGCTTCGGCTCGCCAGCCCCCCGAGCCAGGGGGAGGTGCCGCCCGGTCCGCTGCCCGAGGCCGTACTGGCCCTTTACAACAGTACCCGTGACCGGGTGGCCGGGGAAAGTGCCGAACCTGAGCCTGAGCCAGAGGCGGACTACTACGCCAAGGAGGTCACCCGCGTGCTAATGGTGGAAAACAGCAACGGTGAGCTCGGAGGGGCAGGGGAACCCTGGAGGGGAGCCCCCAGGGGGCGCCGGAGTGCAGGGGTCACGGGGAGGAAATTACCGGTAGAGGAAACTGGCTGGGGGAAGAGGACCCCCGGGGGCGCCGGGAACTTGGGAGGGGGAGTCTCAGAGAGGATAGGGCTGAGCTCCCTACCCCCCAGGTATCTGGTCTTGAAGAGGAGATAGTGAGCGGAGTGGACCGCTTTTGGAGGGCTACAGGAACATGCGAGATCGTGGGCGGGGGGAGTCCCTTAGAGGGAGAGAAGCGAAGCAGTTACGGGGTGGGGGTGTAGAAAAAGACTTCCCCTTGCAGGGAGCACTAGAGTGCGGGGGTCGTGGGTGGGTCCCGCAGAGAGGGAGCTCGCTTTGGGAGAAGTGAGGACCCCGGCATTGGGGAGAGGAGAGGTAGTGGGGAAAGTTGACCCAGAGCTCAGGGGTCATGAGGCAGGAAGATTCAAGAAGGACAGAAAAACTAGGTGAAGCGAACCCCAGAGGTTCCAGAAAGTGGAGAGTGGACGCATTTGCACACGGCACGAAGAACACGCGGGATTGGGGAAGGGCTTAGAGAGAGAGGCGGGGAGGGGGTGATCAATGCGAGGTCAAAAGGGGGCGCGAGGTCGTAGGGTGGGGAAAACTGGCGGGAGAGAAGCGGAGACCCCAGGGGGATGCCGGAGATGCGCCGGGAGGTGCTCTATTTCGCAGACGGACGTGAGAGGAGGAAGTCCAGCGGAGGAAGCGAGCCCCCAGGAAACCTAGAATACTGGGTCGTGGGAAGGGGTATACAGAGCGGAGAGACAAGCGTGGGAAAGATGGACCTGGGAGCGGGCAGAGGAGAGATGGACGGTGCCATGCTGGGAGCAGCGAGCCTCCGCCACGCCGCGGGATGGAAGGGAGAGGGCTGAGTGAGGAGTCGAGCCGTAGAGGGAGAGGTGGGTGGGTGCGACTCTACAAGACCCCGGGTGAGAAAACCGAGCTGGTAGGGGTGAGGAAGCCCCACGTGTGTGCCACGCGCGGGGGGAGGAGCCTGCGCTTCCGGAAGGGGACTGGAGAACCCCAGCAGAGCTGAATGCTGAGAGCCTGGACCCCAAACTCCTAGTTCCTCTCAAGGAGGCTGGGGAAACCCCAGCGTCCGGCCACCTAGCCCTCCCTCCCTTCCTTTCCTTCCCGTGCCTCGGGGGGCGGGGATCGCGCGCGGAGCCTGGGGCGAGACGAGGCAGGTCCGGTCCCCACCCTCGCGGTGGCAGCGGCGCCTCCCGCCCCCTTCACCCCCAGCTCAGGGCGGCACTAACGCTGGGCCCGTCCCATCGGCGCCCGCGGAGACCCAGGCGTCCCGCGTGGCCCAGAGGCTTGGGGGCGACCCCCCTGCTTTCACTTTCCCTCTTGGGCATTAGACTTGTGGGTCTCTGGCCCATTTGTGTACCCAGTTGCCGCTTCAGCCGAATGACACCCCTACCCTCCCACATCTCCGTCTCACCTTTTCCGTCGTAGCTTCATACATAACTTCTAGAAAGTGATAACTCGGCGCTTGGTTGTAGAGATTTTTCCAACATTGATACCTTCAATCTCTCTTCATTCCTCTTCTGCCTCCATCTCGCTCCCAAACCCTATGTCTCTCTTCCCCGTGTGTCTGTCTCCCATCTCTTCCCTCTCTCTCGCTTTTTCTCCTCCATACCCTACTCTCCATCTCTCCCTCTGACCGTTCCTGCCCCTTCTATCTCTCTTCTTCCCTATCTGTCTCCCAGGCCTGGACTCTGCCCTTCCTTTGGGGTCTGCTGAGTAACTCCTGGGCCAAGATAGGGCTTTTTTTGTGCGGGGCAGGGGCTGGCCCGGCTAGAGAGGGGAGGAGTAGGGGAAGGAGACCCACAGAAGGGGCTTCCTCTGTCCTTTCTCATCGGATGTCTCCACCATTTCCATGCCCCCACTGCAGAGGCCTAAAGCAGCTGTCCCAGTTGATCCAGGAGTTCATGGCTTGCCCCGCTCTTTCCCAACCCCCACCTTTTCCTAGGCTAGAAAACTTCCTAATTTTCTCTGTTCCCCTTCCCCCGCCCCCAAAGCCATTCTTACCTAGAATGAACTTTGCCTTTTCTAACCAGCTGGGGAGGGAAACAATAATAATAATAACAACAACAACAAGAGTAATGTCACATTAGCAGGGAGGCAGCATAACCTAGGGCTTAAGAGCACAGCCTCTGGAATCAGACTGGCTGAGTTTGAATCCCCACTCTGCAGCTTCCTGGCTGCGTGATCTTGGGGCAAATTGTTTCATCTCTTTGCCTCAGTTTTCCCATCTATAAAACGGGTATACTAATAGTATCTTCCTCATGGGGATGTTGAACACACACATTAGAGTAAGCATTGTATACAGACTCTGTGCGACATACTTTATCTGCATCATCTCGCTTATTTCACACTAGCAACCTGTAATCAGTCCTTGTCTTACAGGTGAGAATCTGGCACACAGAGAGGAATTCACTTGCCCAAAGTTCCCGCGCTTCAGTTAGGAGAGCCTGGGTTGGGAGGCAGAGAACTTGATGTCAGGTTGATCTTTCCCCAAAGAATAGGAAACTGAGGCTCCGAGAGGGCTTGTGACTTGCCCAAGAAAGAAGGCAGTAGAGGCACAGTCCGGTTCAAATGCCCTTGATCCCTGTGCTGCGACATAACTTGCATTTGAGGCTCCAAGTGCTGGGGAGGCCTAAGCAGGTAGAGCAGTGCCCAGCCCTGTGCCAGCTTTGTACTGAGGGGGCACTTCCCAGTTGATGGGAGGGAAGGGTGGATAAGATCCCGTTTAAAGAGGTGGAAACAAACCCAGAGAGGAGAAGCCAGTCACCTAAGGTCACACAGCTAAAACGTGTCAGGGTTAGACTCCAACCCAGGGCTCTTTGACTTGGGGTGCGCCAGCTCCCCTGCCCCTGTCAAACCCTGACATCCCCCCTCTCGGCTCCTTCTGCCTAGAAATCTATGGGAAAATCAAGCGTAGCCCACACAGCATGTATATGCTCTTCAACACGTCGGAGCTCCGGGAAGCGGTGCCCGAACCTGTGTTGCTCTCTCGGGCAGAGCTACGCCTGCTGAGGCTCAAGTTAAAAGTGGAGCAGCACGTGGAGCTGTACCAGGTGGGGGCGAGGGCCCCAGAGGTGGCCTGGGCTGGGGCGGCTGGAAGGCTGGTGGCTTCAGGGTCCATAGTGACCGATCCTGAAGGCACAGACTGTGGAATCACAGGGCTCTGAAGCTTTCAGACTCCTAGAGCCCTAGAAGGTTAAACGTTTAGAAGGCCGGAATCTTAGGAGTTGGATTCTAAGAGCTCAGGACTTTTGAAAGTTTGAATCTCTGTAAAGGTTGCAGACTTTCAAAGTGCTCTGTCCCCACACAGTAGCCACTAGCCACATATGGCCATTTAAGTTGATCAAAATTAAATAAAAGAAAAAATTCAGTTCCTCAGTCTCACTGACCATAGTTCAAGAGGCCTGTAGTCACATGGGGTTAGCAGCCACTATTTTGGACACCACAGATAAAGAACTTTTCCATCATCACAGAAAGTTCTCTTGGTTAGCTCTTTTCTAGAAGAGTCTCCAGGAAGATTGGAGCCTCAAGAAGTTCTGGATTCTCTTGAAGGTTATGTGACCCAGAATCCCTGTCATGTGGAACGTTAGATTCAGTAGTAGGTGTTAGACTCTTACAACAAGGGAACTTTGGGCTTCCCTGGTGGTGCAGTGGTTGAGAGTCTGCCTGCCGATGCGGGGGACACGGGTTCGTGCCCCGGTCCGGGGGGATCCCGTGTGTCGCGGAGCGGCTGGGCCCGTGAGCCATGGCCGCTGAGGCTGCGCATCCGGAGCCTGTGCTCCACAGCGGGACAGGCCACAACAGTGAGAGGCCCGCGTACAGCAAAAAAAAAAAAACAAAACAAGGGAACTTTGTCTGATGTTAACTTCTTGGAGTCTAGAGAATTCGTTTTTATCCTGCCAGCTCCCAGGGGATCATTCCACATGGATGTCAGGCGTCTGCAAGGTCTAGGTTTGTGGCATGTCAGACTCGTGGGTTTGTAGAACATGAGTCCTCTGGAATGTCTCAGGCTCATTGAAGGTGTAATTCTTGGGGTGCCACTGAGCACTGGCGTTATGGAATGACTTCTAACATAACTTCTAGAAAGTGATAACTCGGGACTTCCCTGGTGGCGCAGTGGTTAAGAATCTGCCTGCCAACGCAGGGGACACGGGCTCGAGCCCTGGTCCGGGAAGATCCCACATGCCGCGGAGCAACTAAGCCCATGTGCCACAACTACTGAACCTGCACTCTGGAGCCCGCGAGCCACAACTACTGAGCCCATGTGCCACAACTACTGAAGCCCGTGCGCCTAGAGCCCATGCTCCGCAACAGGAGAGGCCACCGCAATGAGAAGCCCATGCACCGCAACAAAGAGTAGCCCCCGCTCGCCGCAACTAGAGAAAGCCCGCGCGTAGCAACGAAGACCCAAAGCAGCCAAAAATAAATAAATAAAAAATAAATACATTTTTTTCAAAAAAGAAGGAACGTGATAGACTCTCAGAATTTGGGGGGCCAAATTTGCAGAACTGCCTATAGTCAGTGACCCCTACGATGTCAGTAGGAGAATCGTGGCATCGTGGACTGTCCAAGCTGAAAGGGGCCGCCTGGCATTTCATCAGTGAGGAAACCAAGGACAAAAGGGGAGAGGAATTTTCCATGGCCACGCCGGGGTCAGGCATAGAGGATGAGCTGCCCAGGTGCCTTGACCCCCCCAGCCTGGGGTTCTCTCTCCCCTCTGGGCTGCTGTGGGGTGGGTGGCTCCTGTGGGCCCCTCGGTTTGGGTGTCTGGGAGGGGACAGTCTGCAGGACTGTGTGGAAGCCCTTTTCGGGGAGATGGACTCAGGGGTGCTGTGTACATGAGGGGTGTGTGGCAGCATCTACCCACTGTCTCTCCCCCCAATTCATTATCCCCCAGAAATACAGCAATGATTCCTGGCGCTACCTCAGCAACCGGCTGCTGGCCCCCAGCGACTCGCCGGAGTGGCTGTCCTTTGACGTCACTGGAGTTGTGCGGCAGTGGCTGACCCACGGAGGTGAGGATTGCTTGTCTGCCCCACCCCTATTTTTTTTGTGTTTTCTGGCCGCACTGCGTGGCATGTGGGACCTTAGCTCCCCGACCAGGGGTCGAACCTGCAGTGGAAGCGCGGACTGTTAACCATTGGACCACCAGGGAAGTCCCCCCCAACCCCTATTTTGTAATGGGGTTGACCCCATTGTTTGTCCTGGGGCTCCCCTTCCTAGCACCGCCCACCCCATGTTGGTGCCAAAGAGCCCAGACCTGGGCCTCCTTCCAGGCACTCAAACCTGAGTGATTAATGGTAAATCCATTTCCTGAGCACCTGCCCTGTGCTGGGTGATGCTGGGGACACAACAGTAACCAAAACAGCACCATACTTGCCCTCATGAAGCTTATCATCCATTGCTCGGGTTAAGGGATTTGGGGGAAAGACCTGAAAACCAGGTAGTAATGTCCCAGAGTGGGCAGGGTTGGGAGGGGGAGCCCAGAGGAGGTGCCTGACCCAGCCTGGGAAATCAGGGAGGGCTTCCTGGAAGAGGGGACATTAGAGCGGTTGTCTGAGGGATCAGTGGAGCCAGCCTGGGAAAGACGGAGGGGCAAGAGTGTTCAAGGCGGAGGGATAGGCTGTGCAGAGCCCTCGAGTCCAGGGAGAGCCTGACACACCTGATCTGTCCAGAAGAGGACTGTCTGTCCTGTCCCATCTGAGTCCACAGTACCCACATCTCCCTTCCTAGTCTCCCTCTCATTCATTCCTTCACTCAGTAGATGCCAGTAGGTTCCTGCTATGTGCCTGGCCCTGTGCGGGTGGTGTGGGGGACACAGTGGTAACCATGACAACTTCTAGGCCTGCCCTCATGGGGCCCACAGTCACTTCTAGACACCTAGGAAATCTTGCCAAAGCCCTAGCAGGGAGCCCGCCTGACTCCCATTGTGATGGCCACAATGACCAGGGCCGGGATGGGGGAGGCCATAAGTGCTGTGGGAGCCGAGAGTGGGCATCCAAACCCATCTGGAGGGGTCCAGGAGGGCTTCCTGGATGAGGATGATGGTGTTGAGACTCATGAGATAAGTGATGGTTTGGCTAGAGGAAAAGATGGGGGTTAGGGAGCAGGTGAGCGCTGGGACAAGTGTCCTGGGCTGATTGCTGAGTCCAGAGCCCCCAGCACAGGGTCCAACACATAGTGGGAGCTTAGAAAGGCATTCACTCATTCATTCAAGAAAACTTTCTTCCACACCGACCCTGGGACAAGAGCCCAGGCACTTGCATCCCAGCCCTGCCTTTTCCCACTTTGGGCAAGTCACCCCCTCTCCGTGGGCCTTGGCTTCTTCATCTGTAAAATGGGGAGCTTTGGTGAGGATTAAAGGAAATAACGCACAAAAAGTGTTTAGAACAGGGTCTGGCACCCAGTGCGAACTCAGGAGATGTTTGTTTTTACGACTGTGGGCCAGGCCCAGTGGGGAACAAGAAAACAAGGATCCCTGCCCCCACGTATCCTGCTTTGCCACTGAGAACAAAGAGGGGAATAAATAGCCAGATACAAACGTCAGGGTAAGTGCTATGGAGAAAATGAAGTGCTGTCATAGTGGGGGAGGGGCTGTGTCCTGGAGGGCTTCCAGGAGGAGGTGGCCTTTGAGCTGAGACCTGGAGGAGGAGGAGGCTGCAAGGCAAAGGACTGGAGCACGAGGGTGCAGTGAGAGGCCAGGCAGGGGAAGGGGCAGGAAGGAGGTCCCCCCACCCCCACTCCGGGGGTTTGCTACTTCCTTTCTCCTCCCCCAGGGGCTGGGTGAGCCGCCCCCTCACACTGGCTTCCCTCTCTCCACTCCCACAGAGGAAATAGAGGGCTTTCGCCTCAGTGCCCACTGTTCCTGTGACAGCAAAGATAACACACTCCAAGTGGACATTAACGGTGAGGCCCACCTCCCCGGCCCGGCCCCATGCCCACCAGTGATGTGTGTGTGTGTGTGTGTGTGTGTGTGTTTCTTCCCCTTGACCATCTCCCATTCATCCATCTGAGAGTGTGTGTATGTCTCCCCCACCCTCCCTACCTCCTGACTCCCAAACCAAAGCAGGGTTCAGTTCCGGCCGCCGGGGTGACCTCGCCACCATTCATGGCATGAACCGGCCCTTCCTGCTCCTCATGGCCACCCCGCTGGAGAGGGCCCAGCACCTGCACAGCCCCCGGCACCGCCGAGCCCTGGACACCAACTACTGCTTCAGGTGAACCTTGCAGCCTTTCCCTGACGCCTTCTGGGCTGGGGGCCTCTTTGCCGTCTGCTGAGCAGGCACCGCACATTGGGCACCTGGCTGGTGCTATGCTTGGGCTGGCACCTCCTTCAGCCTGGAGCGTTCAGGGGATGAGGTCCGAGGCCTAGGATGCTGGGATGTGGGAACTGGGAGTCCTCGAATGCTGAGATCAGGTGGCTCTCTTGCTGGTGGGTTGCAATCAGAGACTATTAGAATGTTGAACACGGAGAATGTGAGAATTCACTATTGGAAGGTCGCCACGTTAGATTCCTGTCCTGCTGGCAGGTTGGGGTTCGAGCATGTGGGGATTCTAGGATGTGAGAATCGGTATTCATTACTGAAATCTGAGAATGTTGGACTCAAGGGATGTTGGGATCCTAGAACTTGGGAATTCAGAACTGGAAGATTGCCCATGTTGGATTCCTATACGATTGACAGACTAGAGTCTCCCGTATCGGCAGATTGGAGTCCTTGACTATTGGGCCCAGAATAGTGGAATCCTGTGTTAAAATATTTGCATCCACAAATGTTGGAGTTGGAGAAAGCCAGAGTCTCGGTAACCTAGAATGTTGGGACTCAGGGCTGGAATCTTGTGAGAATCTTGGAAGGCTGTGATCTTAGAAAGTGGCAGCTTGGACCTCTTGAGTGATGGGCTCAGAATTGTGGAATGTTGGAATGCAGGTTTTTTTGTTTGTTTGTTTGTTTGTTTTGCCGTACGCGGGCCTCTCACTGTTGGGGCCTCTCCCGTTGCGGAGCACAGGCTCCGTTCGCGCAGGCTCAGCGGCCATGGCTCACGGGCCCAGCCGCTCCGCGGCATGTGGGATCTTCCCGGACCGGGGCACGAACCCGCGTCCCCTGCATCGGCAGGCGGACTCCCAACCACTGTGCCACCAGGGAAGCCCTGGAATGCAGTTTTGAAATATTGGAATTCAAGAATGCCAAGATCTTGGAGAGCTGGAATGTGGGAATCCTAGAAAGCTGGAAAGCTGTTGGTGTGTTAGAATCTTGAGAGGCTGGTGTATTGCAGTCTAAGAAAACTGAAAAGCTGTAGTCCTAGAATGTTGAAGTTCAGAGTTAGAATGTTGCGAGTTTAGAGTGATAATGTGACCTTGGCCCTCCCCTGCTTGATATTTTGATGGTGCCTTTGGGCTTTGTTACATGCAGTTCTCCTGCTGGAAAGTCAGCTCTGCTCCCAAACTCCTTCACCACCAGATCCCACCCTCTGCCCAGCAATCCTGTGGATGAATGAATGGATTGAGGTCTTGAGTGCCAGCAGCTTATACTATTACAGTGAGAGAGTGCCAGCCACATGAGGGACACAACGTCACTTAGGAAGTCTTCCCAGAACATCAAACCTGAAGCTGATCAGTGCGGTAGATCCAGTTTTCCAGAAATATGAGAACAGAGAAACACGTTAAACAACACCGTGGTCCTGCAGTCAGCAACATCTAGATCGTGGGAAACCTGACCCAGTTTCTTCAACAAATACAATACAAAGTGGGGAAACAGAGAGATGGTTCTGTAGACTTTAAAATAGAATATTAAAATATGTATCAAATAATTGCCACGTATAGACCATATTTGGGTCTTTTTTTTTTTTTTCTTTTTTGGCCCGAGCCACGCAGCATGTGGGATCTGAGTTGTTCCCTGACTGGGGATCAAACTGTTGCCCCCTGCAGTGGAAGTGCAGAGTCTTAACCACTGGACTGCCAGGCAAGTCCCCCAAGTGGGTTTCTTTTACTCGTCAGGCCCTGTTGGGTCCTGGTAGACTGGAGGGCAGAGTTGCAAGGGCCTGGACTGCGTGTATCACAGGACCTGGAAAGCAGCAGGCCCCAGGCATGCACCTCAGGGTCACCTGGAGGACTTGTTAAATGTGGCCTGCTGTCTCCCACCCATCCCCACCCCCAGTTTCTGATTCAGTGGGTCTGGGGTGGGGCCTGAGAATTTGCATTTCCCACAATTTCCCAGGCGGTGCTGCTGCTCCAGGGACCCTACAGGGAGAACAGTTGAGTTGGATAATAGAATCACACACTTCAAGTCTTAGGACCTCAGCACCCTGGCACAGTTGGACCAGAAATGAAAGATTATTCTGGACAGTGGTTCTTCCCCTTTTGTGAGTCCGGGAACCCCTTGAGAAGTCGAAAGCCAGGAACCTTTTTTCCCCAGAATATGCCTATACATACACACGTAGGTGCATATGGTTTGGGGGGCTCAGGCCCCTCCCTCAGCCCATCCATGGATTTCCTGACGCCTCCTGGGCCCTTAACAACATCTTATTTGATCCAACATCCCTTGCATCTTTGTACAGATGAGGGAACTGCGGCCCAGCCAGACTGGGGAGGCGCCAGGCTGAACTCACAGGAATCTAAGTTTCCTAACTTCCTTCTCAACGTCCTGTGGCTCTTGGGAGAGGCCTGTCTTGCCCTGGGAGATCCTGTCACATTGCCTCTTCCCCCTCTGCTTAAGCTGACATGGTTGCACTGGGCAGGTGAGGCCACAGACTCCAGGGCCGCACAGAGTTAGCTGTGAACCTGGCCCCAAGCTCCACCACATGTAGGCTACAAGTGAACAGACAACATCCCCCTTTCTCTGAGGCTTAATTTTTCTTCATCCTGCAAATGGGAATAATAATAAGACCTGCCTTGTAGGGAATTCTCTATTGATATTTTTTTTTGGCCGCACCACACACATGCGGAATCTTAGTTCCCTGACCAGGGATCGAACCTGTGCCCCCTGCAGTGGAATCATGGAGTCTTAACCAGTGGACTGCCAGGGAATTCCCGCTATTGATTTTTTTTTTTTTTTCCCTCTATTGATTCTTGAGTAGGAAAATGCATGCACTTGGATCAAACCCAGAAAGGATACTCAGAGACCCTCCAGCTCCGGCCCCCAGCCCCTCTATGAGGAGGCTTTTATTGTATTTCTGTCTCCTCCCAGAGAGTCTCTGTATGAGACACTTACACATAGCCATGTATATGTTTTTTATTTTGTCCAAATGGTATAGTCTTTTTTTGGGGGGGGGGTACTGCATTTTCTTTCTTTAAATTTTATTTTCTGATTCTAAAAGTAACACATACCCACTATCGAGAATTTGGAAAATACAGAACGATATCCCCCATCACATTGCCACCTATGAAATGTCACTGTCAGCATTTTAATATATTGCCCTCCAGTCCTTCTATTCAAAACAGAATTTGGACCATGCTGTACCTGTAACTTTGCATAGTGTTTCTTTCGTATGTTATGAACATGGAATTTAAAGTGTTCTCAGCTGCCCATGAGTCAAGCTTTTTAGTTAAGTTCCCAGCCCATCTCAACCATGGCCCCAGGGGCCAGCACAGAAAATGCCCCATTTCCTTCCAGACATGAAGGAGCCAGGGCCGCAGACTGGGGAGGACTGACTTTTGCATCCGAGCCTGGGACAGAGATCATGAGTCCAGGGCAGTAGAGTCTTACATACCACCACTCTCCAATGTGCTTTTATTTTTTATTTTGTTTTGTTTTTTAAAAAGTATTTATTTTTTTTGGCTGCATTGGATTTTAGTTGCGGCACACGGGCTCTTTGTTGCAGTGAGCGGGCTCTTCGTTGTGGCGCGTGGGCTGGCTTCTCTCTAGTTGTGGCGCCTCAGTAGGCTCTAGAGTGTGTGGCCTCAGTAGTTGCGGGGTGCAGGCTTAGTTGCCCCGCAGGATCTGGGATCTTATTTCCCCGACCAGGGATCGGACCCACGTCCCCTGCATTGGGAGGAGGATTCTTAACCACTGGACCACCACGGAAGTCCCTCCAATGTGCTTTTAAAAGACCTAACATATTGATCAATTATTTTATACAGCCAGTACTTGCTAAGCACCTGCTATATGCCAGGCACTGTTGCAGGGACACATTTAGGGACAAAATAGACAAAAAGTCCTGTCCTCAGAGGAAGACAGAAAACGAACAGATAAATAAGTCAGTATCTAATAAAAGAGTAGGTGGCAAGAAGGAAAACAAATCTGAGGAAGGGGAAAGAAAGAAGTCATTGTGATGATTTATTTTTCCTCTTCTGATTGAAATTTTTTTTATTAGGGGAAACTTTAAAGGTATTCATAAGCAACCAAGATGGTACAAGGAGCCCCCATGAACTCTCATCCAGTATCAACAAGTATTAAGATTTGCCCCATTTCAGCTGCAGTCATTTTCATGTTTTCTCACATAACTGAATGCTGTTATTACACTGTATGGAATTAACAAACATTTGGATTGGTATTTTGGGTAGGATGGTCCAGGAAGGACTCTGAGGTGACGACATTCATTTGTTTGACTGATACTTATTGAGCACCTACTGCATGCCAGGCAGTGTTCTAGGAGTTAAGGGTCCCTGAGTGAGGGATATTTGAGCGTACATACAAACGGAGTGAAGAAACAGAGCCAGAGTGGGTATCTGTGGGAATAGCAAGCCAGGCAGAGGGAACAGCAAGTGCAAATGTCCTGAGCTGGGACTCAGGAACAGCGAGGATGGTGACGTGGCCGAAGGACAGCGAGAGTGGGAGTGGGGAGGGGGTTGAGATCAGCCAGATCTGGTAGCGCCTTGTGGTCCATGACGAGGGCTTGGGCATTTGCCTTGTTCAGAGCAGAGGAGCGACAGACAGTCTCTAGTATGTGGCCCCATAAGGCAGGGATTTCTGTCTGTTTTGTTTGTACTGCGTCCCCAGTAGACCGCAGCCCAGCACATGGTAGTAGCTCAGTGAACATTTGTTGCACACGTAGAACATATCAGTACACGTGGAGCTGCATTGTGTTTTTTATGTTCCAGTGTGTGGATGTGCTGTGGTTGGTGTAACCCCCTCTGGACGTTCATTTGGCTTCTTACAGGCTTGAGCATTGCCTGAGATGATGTTTATGAGGATGCCCTTAGCGCAGTGCTGGACTAGAGGAAGTGCTTTATCAGTGTTAGTGATGATCATTACTATTACTGTTAATGCTGTTATCATCACAGGGGTTGCAAGGGAGACCAGGATGGAGACCGTGCTGGCGGGCAACCAGGGTGAAACACATGCACAGCCGGGGGAGGAGGGGCATCCCTCCGCTCTCCTGACTCGGGTTCCTCCCTCCCTCCGGCCTGCAGCTCTACGGAAAAGAACTGCTGCGTTCGGCAGCTCTACATTGACTTCCGCAAGGACCTGGGCTGGAAGTGGATTCACGAACCCAAGGGCTACCACGCCAATTTCTGCCTGGGGCCCTGCCCCTACATCTGGAGCCTGGACACGCAGTACAGCAAGGTGTGTCTGGAGCCCTGGCTGGGGGTGGGATGAGGGTAGCAGGAACCGAGGGAGGAGAGGGAGAAAAAGAGGTAAAACCAGATGAATTGGCGAGATAGTAGTCAGAAAGAGAGGAGACAGGGAGATTGGCGGGGAGGTGGCAAAGGGATGGGAGAGAAACTAGAGGCAGGGTCTGAGCAGTTAGAGACACGAGGCAGAGGGAGACAGAGATACGGGGAGACCCATGGAGATGCATAACTTGGGCTTGGGAAGAGGTGGGGAGATGGAAGGAGAAAGAGAGGAACGGAGGGACACAATGAGAGAGAAAAAGGCAGGAGGATAGAGAATTAGGAAGATGGAAGGAGAAAGACAATGAGACACAAGCCAAGAGTGGAAACTGGGGAGAGGCAGAGAAACAGAAAGAAACGGAATGAGATAAGACAGAGGGAGATGGGGAGAGGCTGGCGGGGTGGGGGTACCCTCCCCATGACCCCCGACCCTGACCCCGCCCACCCGCCCCGCAGGTCCTGGCCCTGTACAACCAGCACAACCCGGGCGCGTCGGCGGCGCCGTGCTGCGTGCCGCAGGCGCTGGAGCCGCTGCCCATCGTGTACTACGTGGGCCGCAAGCCCAAGGTGGAGCAGCTGTCCAACATGATCGTGCGCTCCTGCAAGTGCAGCTGAGGCCCCGCCCCTCCCGGCAGGTCCCGCCCACCCCGGCAGGCCCGGCCCCGCCCCCCCGCCCGCCTCATCAGGGTTGTATTTAAGGACACCGCGCCCAAGCCCACCTGGGGTCCATTAAAGGTGGAGAGAGGACTGGGTCTCTGTGTCATTGGGTGCCTAACTAGGGTTTCTCTTCCGACGTTCCCCGACCTCCCCCCCCAATGCCCCCCGCATCTCCTTACATTGACACTTACATCTGCCTCCTCCTGTCTCTGCCCATCATTCATTTGCCCCTCCTCACACAAACACTTCTTAGCGCTTGTTATGTTTCTTACTCCTGGTGAACAAGGGTTAGATTTATTTATTGAGCACCTTGGACCCTTATGTTAATTAACTCATTTAACCACCATAACAAAGCTCTGAGATAGACTCTGATAACACCCACTTTAAATGTAAGGAAATGGAAGCCCAGAGAGGTTAAGGGAATAGTTCCTGCCTACCAGGAACCTACTTTCTGGGGAGGAGACAGACATAGTAAAGTTGTGCGAAAACAGGAAAGCAGGATGGGTAAGAGATGGCTTTGGGGAGGAGGGAGGGCTTCTTGGACGAGGTGGCATTTGGGACTTGAAGGAAGCCAAGAAGGCAGCCTGGGGGAGGGTGTTCTTGGTAGGAAGACAAAAGCAAAGGCCTGGAAGTAAAGATGAACTTGGGGTGAGCTACACAGGCAGGAAAGAGGCCAGTGCGTTTGGAAGGGAGGGGCAAGAGGAAGGGTGTTAAGATCTGAGTCAGAAAGTAACACTCACAGGCCAGAGAATAATAACAATTCTCCACTCCAGGTATGGCGCTACTAGCTCACGGCATTCTCCCCACAGCCCAAGAGAGCATGGGTTGGCAAACTATTGCCTGCAGGCAAATTCTGACTTGCTGCCTGTTTCTGTAAATAAAGTTTTTTTGTTTTTTTTTTTTTTTCCTTTGCGGTAAGCGGGCCTCTCACCGTTGTGGCCTCTCCCGTTGTGGAGCACAGGCTCCGGACACGCAGGCCCAGCGACCGTGGCTAATGGGCCCAGCCGCTCCACGGCATGCGGGATCCTCCCAGACCGGGGCACGAACCCGTGTCCCCTGCATCGGCAGGCGGACTCTCAACCACCGCGCCACCAGGGAAGCCCTGTCAATAAAGTTTTATTGGAGCACAGCCATGCTCACTTGGTACAGTACTGTCTGTGGCTGTTTTAGTGCTACTGGGGCAGAGTTGAGTAGAAACTGTGCAAAGTCAAAAATATTTACTATCTGACCCTTGACAGAAAACGTCTGCCAACTCCTGCTTTGGAGATCATTTGCTCCCCACTCCACAGATGGGAATACTGAGGCACAGAGAGGTTAACTTATTTGTTATGGTCACATAGTTAGCAAACGGCACAGCTGGGATTCAAACCCAGGCAGCTAGAGTTGAGGGCTTATGCCCACAACTTCTGCACTGGTCCTGCCTTCCAGACCACATCAGGCCTGTGGGGACCTGTGAGAACTTGTACTCTGAGAGAGGAAGGCACCATGACAGGGTTTGGAACAGAAGAGGGATGTGATTTGACTTAAGTGCTCAGAGGGTCCCTCTGGTTGATGGTTGAGAGTAGACTGAATGGGTGTGAGGGTGACTGCAGGGAGACCAGTTGTCCAGGAGAGAAATGACAGCACCCTGAGCTGGGGTGGGTTTCCCTCTGCTGTGTTTCTTCCCATCTGCTGGGGTCTTGCTGATGAACTCTCTCCCGCTTCCTCTTTCTCTGGCTTCTCAGTTTCCCCTCTTCCTCCCTGGTTTCAGTTCCCCCCTCTCTCTCCCCGGCCCTTCTCAGGTCCGGGGCCTTGACCTGCTTTGCTCAGTGACTGCCCTGGGGGAGGATGGTGTGAGTGCTGAGCTTCCTTTGCAGGTGGGTCAGTGGCACCAGGTCTGGATGAGTGGGCCCCGGGGCCTGCCCAGCCCAGCCCAGCGGTAGAAATGTGGTCACTCCTCCTGGCCCAGGTCTGGGAGCCATAGAGGGCTGGGGGTGAGGTGGGGGCCGGAGGAGTTCCCTATCCAAGGATGTGCTTCCATTGTCACCAGCCGCCCCATCACGTGCACACAGCCCAGCCTTGGAGCTTGGCTGGGACACAACATAAGCAGAGACTTCCATAGGGACGCAGCAAGATGGAATCACACAAATACATCCTGTAGGATCCTAGGCACAACCACCACACTGCGGACACAGATGCAGAGGCCGTGCCATGCACAGACACACTCCTCACAGCATCAGAGCCCCGTCAGGAAATGAAACAGAGACTCCGGCCCCGACCCACCGACAGTTATACAAACATCCTCCATGGGGTCACGGTCACAAACAGGCACCGTGTGCACGCACAGGGCCTGACACGTCACAGTCCCACCCAGACACATACCACACACGGAGATCTGACACGTCAGTATCTCGCAGACCGCCAGGCGGTCGTGCCCAGTCGGCCTGACATCGGCTGGCCCCACACGCTCAGGCCTGGGGAGTCCCACACGGCCCTACGGACGGTAGCCGACCCGTCATACTTAGACGCACTGTCACACCCCAGGTCCCAGACGGAGAGTCCCGCACACCCAGACACACCCCCGGGGCCGTGGCCCTCACACGCCCAGCTCGCGCCTCGGCCCAGGACAAGTCCGGGCCGCACACCGGGCCGCGCGCTCCCGCGGTCGCCGAGCCCTGGCCACGCCCTCGGGCCACACCCCGCCCGCTCGCCCGGGCGGCGGGGACGGGGAAAGCCGCGGGCTTAGCACCTTCCCGGCCGCGGGGGCGGCTCCTGCCCCGCCCCTCCCGGCACCTGGCCCCGCGGGAAGGCCGGGCCCGGCCCCCAGCCAGCCGCAGGGGCAGGCCCGGGGGTTCGGGGCGCCCCGCTCCCCTCCCCCGCCTCTGCAGGCAGGCCGGGCGGCGAGGGAAGTCGTTGGGGGGAGCCTGGGTTCCGGCTGGAGCCTCGGCTTCCCGTCCTGCCCCCAAGGGGCAGGAAGCAGGGCCGGGGGAGGCCAGCTCAGGCCTTCCTGCCCCCTCCCTCAGACAGGCCTGGGACCTGGGACGGGGTCAGCGTGAGAGGGAGAAAGGGAGGGGGGAGGTGGGGGGAGGGAGAGAAAGCCCCCTTCCCCCTAGATCTCTGGACATCCAGCGCGTTGGTGTCTTTCGTGTTTCTAATGTGAATTTGTATGTGTGTGTCCCAGCAAGCTTTGTGGTGTGAATTTTGTGTGTCCAGCATAGGGGTCTCTAACACACGGCTGGGTGCCTGACGGCTGTGTTGGGTATGGACCAAGGGGGATTTTCATCTGGTGTCTCTCCAGCACGGGTTCAACTGTGTGTGTGTGAGACCGTGCTGCATTTGCTGTGCCTGCACCTGTGTTTTGTGTTTCTGCTGCACAAGCCAGTGTGCACTCTGGGTTCCGTGTCCGGACACTGTGTGACTCGGCTAGTCTGCGTGTATGAGTTGGTTGTATCCCTGGGGTGTGTTACGTGTCTGGATTTTTTCTCAGCACACTTGCTCTCTTTTCTGGGTGTAAATTTGCACATTATTAGCATAAGCTTGATGAGAAGTGTGGGTGTTTTCCGTGTATGTTTACGGGTCTGAGAAGTGTGTTTCCAGGAGGTATTGTGTGTGCACTGTTTCCTACTCAGGATGTTCTGCCTGTGTGTGGCGGTCCCCAGTGTTTGTGTCTGTGGGTGAGTAGCTTCTGGGTTACGTTTCGTGATCAGTGTGTGCGTCGCTGGTATTCCGAGCATGTTTGTGTGTCTACGGGGTGTGTCTCCCACATGCTTGCTGTCCTCCTCCCAGTGTGTCCGTCTCCGGGACTGGTGCTCGCAGCCTCTAGGGGTGTCTGTGAGCAGGTGGCGTCTGCATTTTGTGTCCCCACATGTGGGCTGATGACTTCAGTGTGTGGGCAGTCGTGTGGGTCTCTATTTTGCTCTATCACTCTCGAGTTTTCAGTGGGGTGTGTTCATGTTCACAAGCAGCTGCACGTGTGGGGCTGCATCTGTGCTGGTGTTTCCAGGGATGGGGGGCATCCTGTGTCCCTAGTGAAGCCGCTGGCATCCCGAGCGATGCGGCCTCCATGCTGAGTGCAGGCTGTGCCTGCGGCACGTCCCCTTGCCGGCTGGTGCCACGTTGGCTCGGGGCTGGCCGTGGCGGGCAGGGCAGGGCAGGGGCTGTGGTGGGCACTGGACCCACGCCCGGACCTCAGTATAAATATCTTGGGCTGCCGGCGGCTGTGTTTACTTGGCCCCAGCCCGGGGGCGGCAGCAGCCGGGCAGGTCTTGGGGGTGGGGGTGACCAGGCCACAGCACAGTCACTTCCTTCTGGCCAGACAGGCCGCAGCCTCCCTGCCCCCTTTCTGGGTGGGGGCGAGGTGGTGACCCCTCATTCTGGGCTCCCAGGGGCCACCAGTGAAGCCCTGACCCCGACACCCCCGCTGGGCTTCCCAGGATCTGGGAGAGAGACCAGCAGAGATGGGACAAGGGCGGTGGGCCAGGAGACAGCGGAGAGAGGGGTAGGAAAAAATGAGGGTGAAGACGAGGCGGCGGGGGGGGGGGGGGGGGGGGGGCAAGGGGGGGGGGGAGGGGGGGGGGGGGGGGGGGGGGGGGAAAAAGGGGGGGGGGAGGGGGGGGGGGGGGGGGGGGGGGGGCTCTGACAGAAAGGCACGGGGACGCGGAGACAGAGAGGGAGGGAATGACAAGGAGGGAGAGGACAGAAGAGGAGGCAGAGGCCCGGGCACAACGAGGGGGAAGAGAAGGGGCTGAGAGAGGGGAGACGAGAAGCGATGGGGAGACGATGACAGTCAGAGAGCTGCAGAGACAGACCGAAAGGGAAGACGGAGCTAGGGGAGAGGCAGAGGAAGGAGACAGCAGCAGCAGGGAGAAGGGACAGCGAGGCAGGCGGTTGGAGGGGATGAGGAGAGAGGGGCAGGACGCAAAGAGGTGTCAGACATGGGGGGTGGGGTGGCAGCCAGCAGAGCCTGGCCAGGACAGACAGGAGACACGGGGGTGGGGGCCGGATGCCCTCGGAGGGGCTCTCCCTTCCCTGACTCAGCCTCTCCGCCCACCCCAACCCCAGAACCAGGAGTGGAGGGGCAGGCGCCTCTCTGGGCACCTCCAGGTCTCAGCGGGTCTGAGGCTGTGATGGGGGAGTGCCTCTGGGCTCCACCTCGGTCTCTGAGACAGACGCTCCTTCTCTGCCATCTGACTAACCCTAATTCTGACTCAATTGCCGTCTCTCATCACTTAGAAAATGTATGTAACGAATTTAGGTATGGCACAGTGTATCACAAATTTAATGATCAAATGACAGACCGCTGAAAAATGCGCCCATCACCCAGGGCTGATGCCTGTAT